AAAGCCCCAGTAGATAGTTGTATGTCACAGCTGCACATCCTTCTAGTTGCTGTATGTGGGACTCGGCCTCAGGCTGGACAGAGAAGTGGTGCCTCGATGCGCACCCGGGATCCGAACCCAGGCCGCCAGCATCGCAGCGCGCGCACTTAACCACCAAGCCACAGGGCCGGCCCGGAAACTAACATTTGATTAATTATATCTAAGTGAGATATTACAAGGCAAATTTTTTTTATTAATTGCTTAGTCTAATATTAGAAAATCGTCATACAGACACCTTGCACCTATCCAGCAAAATCTGGCGCCCCCGCCTGACTACTGTAATGCCTGAAATTAATTTCCTTGGGTCTTGAAAAGGTTTTTCTGCCTCCCAAAGTAACTCCATTAAAATGTAGACGATGAATTTCTGTGTTCTTCGCTAACTCCCCACCCAAGTGTAGTGAATAGAAATGAGGCAGGGAAGGGGGTCCCAGGGAGAGCACTGAGGCCCTGAAAGAGAAATTTGGATAGTATCAGAGAAGAAGTCTACAATTTGGAATTTGTGTGCTTTCTACCTGGTCAGATTAGTTACAACAATCTTCTCCTTCACCTCTCCTTTCCTCCTCTGTTCTCTGACACCCTTCTTGCCTCTTGTCCTTGGTTAGTGATAATCTTTTTCAGAACTTGATATGAAATTCTCTTTAGCTCCTGGTTGTGCTGATCCAACACAGCAGGCGATGGTGCGTGCAGAAGGACTCTTGGTTCCTGTCCATTTTCTGGATTCTCTCAATAATCTGTGGCACTTTCCAATTTCAGACTCTGATCCGGACACTCTTAAAGGTAAGGAGGAAAGAGAAGGTGACATGAGGAGAAATTGCTGGGTAACTTCTAAGTTGGAGTAAAGGGCATAAAGTGAGCTGTGCTCCAGAATAGAATTGTATTTAGGGGATTTGATAATAGACTTTAAAGACAAGCATTGACATATATGGGCTGTTTAGATTTAATTTGGATAAAAGTCTCATTATCTCTGTTTTTTGGTTGTTGTTGTTTTTTTTTCCCATAGGACAGCAATTCTAATCTGGCCTACTCCAGCCTGTTCTTCATCTGCTATGCATTCCAGATCCTAATCCTGATCCTTTCAGCATTTTCAGAAAAAGATGACTCATCAAATGTGAGACTCTAAATATACCCACCTCATACATTATCTTGACAAATGTGACTTTGAGATGTCTCGGTCTCGCAGAGGTCCCATGAGCCCAGAATACAGTAGTATGGACCATTTTATGACATAAAGAAACAGAAGGTGACTAGAGCATGGAAATATTGACTTTTATACTGACCCACCAATCTTCAGCATAGACATTTAACTTGTATGTCTATGCCAAAAAATTTGATGGTCATTCTATTGGTGACCTTAGAGTCTCCAAATACATATATGTTGTTCAGCCTATTTCAGTAACATATCTAGTTTCTAGCACAACATCGTACTTAGAAAATTCAGTTTCTGATTTTAGAGTCCCATAGAGTTCCTGTTTCCAATTGATTTACTTTCTGATTTTTTGTGCGTCTTACAGGATCCATCATCCACGGCTTCATTTCTGAGTAGCATTACCTTTAGTTGGTATGACAGGTAGGAAATGCCTGGAGTATGAGTTGTCTATTATCTCTATCCCCTCACTCTCCTGCAAGTGATGGACATGCCTCCTGTGACCTCCATTTCTCCTCTACTTAGAGTCAGAGAATTTTAAAATTTACAGATCAATTTAATTTATTTCCTTCATTGGGCAGATTGGAATGCTGAGGAGAGGATGGGGGAGATTTGCTCTTGGTAGCCTGGGGGTTCCACGGAGAAAAGGAAGGACAGTAGGAAAAGAAGGCAGTAGGACAGGAAAAGGGAAATTTGGGGGCAGGCAGTGTGGCACAAATTTGGAGGGTAAGAGATGAACTAGCTGGCCTGGACTAACAGAGGATCTGCAGCAGGCATCCTTGGCCTTTGTAGTTCCATGGACCCCTTGGCAGGCTGGTAACATCCATGAATCCCTTCTCAGATAGTATAGTTAAGTGCATAAAATAAAAAACATAGGATTATAAGGGAACCCAAATGTATTGAAATGTAGTTACCAAAATATTTTTTAAAACACCAAATTTATAATATAGTAATACATGTACTTCTTTATTAATGCATTAAATAACAAGATCTAGGGAGGGATCTAATAATGACCATAATTTCAAAGTAGCGATGAGCATAAATTAGCCATGAAAACATCTGTGATGTCTCCTGGTGACAAAGGCACAGGTATTTCTTTTTACAACTGTGGTTGGTTGCCTATACTCATATTGAAAGGAAAGGCTAAATTTCAGTTAGAAGCCAATAAAAATAAAGATGTACTTTATCTTCCATCCATGTTCTCAAATCCCAGGTTGAGGAGCCCTGATCTAGAGAAACAGTATAGAGTCGGCCTCCAGTTCTGCTCATTTCCTTAAGGGCATTGTGGAGGCACCTCAAAGACACACCAGAGCGTCAGAAAGGTAGCCAGTGTTTGAGGAGGAAGGAGCAGGAACGGGGGAGGTGATGATCTTTTGGCTTTTAATTCCATAGTGCCCTTCCCCTTTCCCTTCTCTTGTTGTCTTCTCCCACCCTCCATTACCCCCACCTGCTCCCTTTTCTGCTCTCTCCACTCCTCTTTCTTTTTTTTTTTTTTTTTTTTTTTTTTTTTTTTTTAAAGATTTTATTTATTCATTTTTTTCCCCCCAAAGCCCCAGTAGATAGTTGTATGTCATAGGTTCACATCCTTCTAGTTGCTGTACGTGGGACTCGGCCCCGGGTTGGTCGGAGAAGTGGTGCCTTGGGGCGCGCCCGGGATCCGAACCCGGGCCGCCAGCATCAGAGCGCGCGCACTTAACCGCCAAGCCACAGAGCCGGCCTCCACTCCTCTTTCAAGTTCAGAAGGCCAGGAGATGGGGTAGTGAGGCAAGGGAGAAGTCCCATCCTTCTGTCCCTTCATCCCAGAACTGGATGGTTTTGATAGAGGCAGCCTCTGACCCAGCCTGTAGGGTCTCAGCCTGTGGGTCACTCTTGTTTCAGCATTGTTCTGAAAGGTTACAAACACCCTCTGACACTTGAAGATGTCTGGGATGTTGATGAAGAGACTAAAACCAAGACACTAGTCAGCCGGTTTGAAGTGTACATGACAGGAGAGCTGCAGAAGGCCAGGCGGGCACTCCAGAGATGGCAGCAGAAGAACTCTCAGCGAAACTCTGGAACCAAGCTACACGGCTTGAACAAGAATGAGAGTCAAAGCCAAGATGTCCTTGTCCTGGTAATTTTCCCATGAGTGTCTCTGCGAATGTGCTGTATGTCTCTGGCAAGAGGACATCAGTGTCATGGTGATTCTGTCCTTATATTTTGACAGCACTTCATGCTTTGCAGTGCATTTTATATTATTAGTAGTATTCACAATACTAATAATACCTTAGTCATGGATACATGGGGGTATAATATACTATTCTCTCTCCTTTTGGGTATATTTGAAATTTTCTATAACAAAATGTCTTTAAAAATAGAAAAATAAAATAAAATAATACCTTAGCATTACTAGAATTTGTACCTGGGTGAGATTTAGCATTAGCAGCTTATTTATTCACTCAAAAATATTTATTAAGTACTGTGTGTCAGAGACCATTCTGGGCACTGGGTACAAGGAACAGCTTGAAAGAGTTTAAACAGCTAGAAAATAAACAATAAATCAATACTGATGTTACTCTTTGAAAGTAACAAACACTAGTAAGAAAATAGAACATGTTAATGTATTTGGAGTGAAGTGCTACTTTAAGGTAATAGGGGAGGCTTCTCAGAGGAGGTGATATTTGAGCAGAGATCCAAACGATGAGAAGAGTCCGTCTGAGGGACCATCAGAAGGAAGGGTATTCCAGTCAGAGGGAGTAAGAGTGTGAGGCTGAGAGGGGAATGTGTGGCTCATTTAAAGAACTGAAAGAAGGTTCGGGAGCATGGAGAGAGAGACTGAGTGTGGGGTGAGAGGAGCTCAGGGAAGTGGATAGGATTAAGCAGTGTAGACCCTTTTGGACCATGGTAAGAAGTCTGATGGAAAGCCAGTGGGAGGTTTTAAGCAGAGGAGTAATGAGATCAGATTCATATTTTTCAAAGCCCACTTGGGCTGCTGCTGGGAGAATGGATGGTTGAGGGGCAAGACTGAAAGCTGGGAGGCATATTGGGGCAGTTGTCCAGGCAAGAGAGACTGATGAGATGGGACCACAGTGAGAAAAATTACAAGAGGGTGTCACTGGTATAAAAACCTGGAAACTGAGGCTGGGAAGCTAGAATTTGGGGCTTGGTGGGACTCTGGAGAATATAATGAGGAGGACAAAACATAGGAAAAGGAAGGGGCTGGTGAGTGAGTGGTAAGGCCCCATGTGTTAGATTCCCAGGGCCGCTGAAACTAGTAGCACAAACTGCGTGGGTTAAAACAACAGAAATTTATTGTCTCACAGCTCAGGAGGCCAGAAGTCTGAGATCAAAGTATTGACGCTCCCTCCGAAACCTGTAGAGGAGAAACCCATTCCTCTTTTACCTTCTGGTTTTTGTCAGCAATCCTTGGCATTCCTTGGCTAATGGATGCATCACTCCAATCTCTTTCTCTGTCGTCTTCTTTCTGTGTCTCTTCTCTTCTTATACGGACACCAGTCATATTGGAGTAGGGCCCATCCTAATGACCTCATCTTAACTTGATTATGTCTGCAAAAGTCCTATTTCTAAATAATGGTACATTCTAAGGTACTAGGGGCTAGGACTTCAACATATCTTTGGGGGAGGGGACACAATTCAACCCACAGCAACCACAAGCAGGAAAAGAATGAAAAGGCTTCACAGCATCTAAAAGATAAATATTATCATGTCCACACCCTTCAGTCACAGGATTGCCCCTCAGGCCCCCACTCAGGGTCTGTTTTTTATTTTTATGTGGTGTTCTCACCAGTTTAGTTGCCTGTTTTCCTAATCCAAAATAGATTGTAAGCATCAGTTAGGAGGGGAAAGGGGAACAGTGATGGTGGCTAAAAGGGTGGACGGTGACCAGGTAGTGAGGAGAGGACCAAAACCCATACAAAGAAGGCAACAGGGCTCAAGAGGGTTAACACTGTGGAGCTGTTCGGTGCAGGACAGTCTTAAACTACACAGCTCTGTGGGCACTGTTGTTGTTTTGTTTTGTACCTAGGAAGAAGCTAAAAAGAAAAAAAAGAAGTCTGGGACCACAAAAGACTATCCCAAGTCCTGGTTGGTCATGGCCCTCTTCAAAACTTTCCACGTCATACTCCTGAAATCATTCCTACTGAAGCTAGTGTATGACATCCTCACGTTTCTGAATCCTCAGCTGCAGAAGTGAGTCCCTGGGCCTTGGGTTGTCCTTTACAGGGCCTCCTCTGCCATTCTCCCTTTTGCGCCTTCTTTATGCAGGCAGGAGTGTATTAGTAAATTCTCATTTTTTAAAATGCTTATAATTTTCTTCCACCTTACACCATTGTGTTTGTGAAAAGCACAAGGCAATTTTCAAGATGTAAGATGATATATCCGTTAGCCTCCTTCTTTTCCACATCCCTCCCCTCACAGGAAGTCAGATACTTGTTAGGGGTCCTTTCTTGTTAAACGGAACTGCTGTAGGCTGAGCCATGTCCAAGAGGTGGGCAGCATACCCCAGAAGAGCCTTGTACCTAGTGTATCTTGTGATCTCTTCACTCCACAGTCACAGCATTCAGTGGGAGGTTTAGGTTAATCATGACAAGACTTCACAGTCTGCTGGGATCTACGGAATGAACTATCCTCCAGGGGAAGCCCTTCTAACTCTTGCTGGATACATGTCCTAATTCCTTTTCAGGCTTGCATTATCCAGGAATGAATCCACTTGTCCCCCACAGCCTCTTTTACCAGGGGGTGGGGGAAGACAGGGCCAAAGCATTGCAGTGGCAGCTCTGTGGAGCATTCATTATCGCTTCTCACAGCCATGGGTCATCAACCCTAAGCTCTTGCTGCTTGTCTTCAAGCAAAAACAAGAACATTGGCACAACTGTGGACCTCAGGTCTTCCAAGAGCATTGGACAGTTCTGGTCACTCTGTTACCTACAGGGTGTAGGGTAGGGTAGCTGGCTGTGTGCGAGGAGCGTGAGGAGCACTTGAAGGCTTGATGGGCATCACTTACTCAGTTTTGCTCTGGCAGGTGGCTGATCTCCTTCGCAAGTGACCCTGACTCATATGTGTGGGCTGGATATGTCTGTGCAATCCTCTTCTTTGTTGTGGCCCTCATCCAGTCTTTCTGCCTTCAGAGTTACTTTCAACTGTGTTTTGTGCTGGGCACAAAAGTACGGGCAACTGTCATGGCTTGTATATATAAGAAGGTAAGTGGGATAAGTCAGACATCACCAAAGAAAATCCCTTTAGTAAATGTGAGCATTTATTCCAAGATTGAGGAAAATTTGATGGAAATGATAACTGACATCAGCACTTGATTTTGATTAACCATATAGCCTTCTTCAGATGTTTCTTTGGAAATTAAAATATGAAAAGTGTGTATATAGACATGGGGGGGTGGTGTGTGTGGGGATGCACTCCAGGGGAAAGTTGGCAGGATCTGCCTTTCAGCCTTGAAGGCTTGCATACCTGTCCCTCTTCTGACTTGTCTCAACAAGGTGAGAACACCTTGGGAAAGAATGTATAGTCAGAAAAGAAGCTTGCAAAGGACAGACTCTTAAAACCACCAACATTCAAACCAAATACTGAATGAAACTGGGCTCATAAAACCTGAACTCATAAGTCCATCTCAAATTACAATTTCACCATAGACTAGAATGCTCTATGAGCCAGTGCTCCATCTCCCCAGACTTGCATTTGCCTAATGACTTCTTTGTCTAAATCTTTAGTGGCTGACTAACCCCACCTCTAACTGGCTCCTTTTTTTGATTTGTAAATACATTCACTCTAGTTACTGAGTTCTGCAGACTTGGGAACTTTTCCATTTCCTTAAGATAATTTTACTCATCTTCCCTCTGTTATGTTGCTTTTAACATTTAACTTTCTCAGGGCAACTGTATTTTCCTTATGTCATAAATACCAAGACGAAGTCTCATTTTGTCCCTTAAGAAATGAAAATAGTCAATTATATCTCAATTTAAAAAAACAAATAAATAGAAAGAAAGAAATGAAAATATAATAGTTATGATCAGTGACTACAAACCTGAGGAGAAAATTCATCCGTGAGGATATAGGACTTTTTATAGGTCAGAACATCAAACAGTTGCCTTTTCTTCCACCCCTAAGGAGTTCCATCATAGTGATTTCTCTACTACAGTTCCTGGTTTTCTCCTTTGCTTTCCTCTCTTAAAACACCAATGTGTCTTTGTCTTCCCTGAGTAGATACTGACACGTCAAGAGACCCAGACAGGTAATCCAAATGTCTTTAGATCAGAAGTCTGGTCAAGTCCTTTGAACTCCCAGATGCTCTCACCCTGGAATTTGTCTTCCTCCTGATTAATTTTTTAATCTTATTCCTTCTGGAGATACTGGATTTCTGCTAGTTTGCAGAATATGAGGTCACTAATCAGGCTGTCTCAGCCATTTCTACAAATGTTACACTTTTACAATTGTGATGATTCATTCTCACTATTTTGTTTCTTAATATATTCCAGGTTTTGTAACTGTTACAATCCATAAAGAATCTGTAAAATATAGCCCTTAATGAGACCTGCATTCAAATAAATATCGCTACTAAAATAGAATTTAAAATTGACCAATTTCATATATTTAGACAATGCTTCATAAATGTTATGAAACGTTTTTCACATATTATCAATTCATAGCCCTGTGAAGTAACCGCATTATCCCTATTTTACAGAGAAGTAAGGCTTAGGTCATTTCAATGCCTACAATCATATAGCCAGGACCTGCCCCCAAACAAGGGCTATTGGAACTAAATTAATGACTTTTCATTATTGAGATTTATTGACTTTTTATTGAGGTTTATTGAGAAAAGAAAAGCATAGTGATTACCTTGAAGGGTAATTAGATGTTACTTTTTTTCGCTTTTCCGTACCAAAGGGGAGGCATAACGACAGACTGACTTCTCTAGAACTTTGGTGGCCTAACATTTTAGGAGATTTCACTCTTTTTACTGTACAACCCCAAATCCTTATATGTTCCAAAGAAGAGTGTATTGGTGGATTAAGATAACAGTAGAACTTCTAGGAGGAGGATGGAGGTGGATATCTAGAGCTACTTGTAGCCCATATACTGTTTTTGTGGGAATTAGAAGGCTCTCTTTCCTCCAGGAAGATGTAGCCTGTACCAGATGGTGGCTTGGTGAGCATAGTGCAGGCTGGTTTCAGTGCCTACCCACCCCCAAGTCTCTTGGCAGGGCATTGTTGTAACTGACAAATCTGTGGGTATCAGCTTTCTGATCTCTCTACCATAAGGAATAAACAAACAAACAATAAACAAATGTGTGAACCCTGCAGCTTTCCTCTCCATTCTAAGAGCTCTGTCCTTCTTGGGAATGGTTGCAACCTCCTCATAAGAGTATGGCTCCGAATAACATTGCTACATCGAAAGTCTGCAAGGTCAGAATCAACACATGCCTCCTCCCTTCATCCCTCTGTTCCTTCCATCCTTCAGTATTTGATTCACTACTGTGAACCATGTGATATGCTAGTGAAATGGACAGATGTAGCCCTTGTCCTCATAGAGTTTGCATCTGGTAGAGAAATAGAATAACAAAATAATTACAGTTCAGGGTGATGAAGGTAATGGCAGAGGTAAGCACAGGGTGTTATGGCGGTACACAGGAGGGGTATCTAACCCAAACTTGGGAGTCAGGGAAGTTTTCTCAGAAGAAATTCCATCTGAGCTGACACTAAAGGATAAATAGGAGTTTTCTGAGCAAAGAAGTATGTGTGGGAGGGTGGGGTTGGGGAAGGTGGGAATAGCAGGAAAGAATGGTCAAGAATGAGAAAACACTGTAAGATTTGGAGGCAAGAAGGCACAGCCCCTTGGAATAGTTGTATCCATATGGAGCCCGTCCTTCTACTGTGTTCTCACTTCCTGAGTTTCCCCTTTAACTCTCCACTATCTTTGGCCTTGTCCATGGATCCCAATCCCAGTCTTTATCTTTAGGCCCTGACCCTATCCAACCGGACCAGGAAGCAATACACCGTTGGAGAAATAGTGAACCTGATGTCTGTGGATGCCCAGAAGCTCATGGATGTGACCAGTTTCATCCACTCACTGTGGTCAACCTTACTACAGATTGCCTTATCCATCTACTTCCTATGGATAGAGTTGGGACCCTCAGTCTTAGCAGGTGTTGGGGTGATGGTGCTCCTAATCCCAGTTAATGGGATACTCGCCACCAGGAATAGGGCTATTCAGGTAAAGAAACAGAGTCACCCTGGGGATACACACACCTTCTTCAAATTCTAAAGTCTTTTGCTTACTCTATTCTAACTCTTGGAGTTTGAGCAAGGTAAAACTGGTAGAAGGCTTTCCATCATCCCAAATGAATTTGGCTTTCTCTATCTTCCCTTTTCATATTCTGACCACTCTTAGGGTTTATATACTCTATCTTCATTCCTGTTAGAGGGAAGAGCCTGACTGGAGAAGGAAGAGCTGCCCAGGGACCCTGCGCATAGCTCTTCTACCCTGCTCCTCAGGGCTGTTCTTAGAACTGTGATTATTGGCCCTGTTTTTCCATCATAGCAATATAAACCAACCATGCAGGGAAGTCACATGAGTGACCCAACTTTAAGCCTAAATCTTAGCAATGAATCCTTCTACCATGAGATGATAGGGCTCCATGTGGACGGTCCTTAGCTCTGCCAGAAATCATAGGCTGAGTGGTTCGACTCGGTGGTGTGCATGATTTATTCATTGTTTTGCATTCGTTTAGTTACAAATAATTATTTTAACAATATTTATTGCATACCCTACTTTTCTGGGAACACAGCAGCAAATTAGACAAGGCTCTTGCTCTTGTGGAGCTTCTGTTCTACTTGGTGTGGAGAGTCAGGTCATAACAAACAAAAGCAAAGAAGAAAAATATCAGGTCATGATAAGTACTACGCAGAGAATTAAAAAGGGTGATGTGATAGTGAGTGAGGGGGTGGTTGTTTTAGATTAAGCGGTCAGGAAAGACCTCTGTGAGGAGGGGACATTTGAGCTGAGCTCTGAACAACACAAACCTGACTGTGAAAGAGCAAGCCTTGAGACAAACATCCTGGGAAGTGGGCATGGGCAGGCCAAGGCTGTGGGGGCAGAAACGGGCTTGGCATGTTCAAGGATCAGAGAGAAGATGGGTGTGGCAGGAGTGGAGTGAGCCAAGAGAGGAGAGTGGGAGAGATGCATCCCACAGGGCACCTCAAGTTCGTACCAAGTGACAGCCACAGGTGCCACTGAGACCTAGCGACTGCAGCAAGTCTGGACCCTCTCACATGGAAGTGTGTTGTGTTTTTGTTTTACTTTTTCCTGGCAGGTAAAAAATATGAAGAATAAAGACAAACGTTTAAAGATCATGACTGAGATTCTCAGTGGGATCAAGGTGAGAAGCCAAGTGTAGGTGGCCTTCTGTGTGCATTGACAGCAGCGGTAGGTTCTTGGCCTTAACAAACCCTGGTAGAGGCCCTGCTTCTGGGCCTGTGGTTCGTCACGTGACTCCTGACTCCTCCACCCACGGTCTCCTATTTCTTCTCCTACTACCCCTCTCAGGCCCTCTTTTAAACCTTGATTTCTATTTATTTACCTTAAATGGTTTGTTTTGTTTTTACATTTCACTGCAGAAATTTTCAAATGTGCACAAAAGTAGGGAGAACAATAGAATGAACCCCCGTGGACTTACCGCCCAGCTCCTATAATTATCAGCATGACCTAACTAGTTTCATCCATACCTTCACTCCCCACTTCATGCCCTGCTAGATTATTTTAAAGTAAATCTCAGATATCTTATCATTTCATTTGTAAATACTTTGTATGTATTTCTAAAAGAAAGACTTCATTTTTTAATAACCAAAATACCATTATCACTGTTATCATTGTTAAAAAAGTTAACAATCATTCTTTGGTGCCATTAAACTTCCCTAATTGCCTCATAAATGTCTTTTTTTGTTTGTTTGTTTTACTGTTGGTTAGTTTTGAATAAGGATCCAAAAAATGGTCACACATAGCATTTAGTTGATAGTGCTTTAAATCTACAATAGTCCCTCTTTCCCTTTTTTTTGGTCCTATTGGAGAAACCAGGTTGTCTTATTTCCTCATGAATTGGTAGTTAGATCTAGAGGCTTGATTAGATTTAGGTATGATTTTTTTTTTTTTTTTTTTGGTTGGGATGGTGGGGCAGGATACTTTCAGATGGTGCTGTGTGCTTCCAAACATCAACGATGATGAGTGGTCAGGGGTCCAGGTGTTGTCAGCCTGATTCATCACTTGTTAAGATTCCTGCCATTCTTTCACCTTGAGCTGTGATCTGTGGCCCTAGTAGCACATTTCGATCCCCTGAGAAATCCGTAATACCCACTGAGGCTTGGGCCTAATTCAAACCATTTAAATTGGACTCTCTGGGGGTGAGGCCCAGTCATATATATTTTTTAAAAGCTCCCTAAGTGATTCTAATATGCAGCCAAGGTTGAAAATCACTGTCATAAAAATTTTAGCAGTCACTGATGATCATTGCCTTGATCTATTCTTTCATTAGGAGTTGCAAAAGGGTGATATTTTAATTCTATTATTCCTTTGACATTAATTAGCTGGAATTCTATAAAGAAGAATTATTTTTAATCAACTAGTTGGTTACCTGAAAATAAAATTTGCACTAGATAGGCAGGATAAATGCTTGCTTTTTTCCCTCTATTTACTAGCTTTCAAAATGATGCATTTCATCTTCCAAAGGTGACCAATAAGTTCTCGTTTAATGTATATGTAGTTTTGAATTCATGGATTTTAAAATTACCAAAAACTTCTTAAAAATGAAACAGAGGCCTCTTTTAACTCTGATATTTCTCCATACAGAGCTCTGATGAGCCTTTTCTGCTAACATGGCAAAATGAAAAGATAGACCTTGTTTTGAGTCTGAGCTCTACCGCTTGCTAGCTTGGTGACTTTGGGAAAGTTACTTAGCCTCTCTCAGCCTGTTTCCTTATTGTTAAAATGGATACAATAATTCTTCAAAATTAGGGGACTAACTCTCCCTGAGTTGCACTGGGTTTAGTACTAAAAACCTCGTGTCCTGGGCAGACCCTTAGTCCCGGGCAAACTGGGACAGTTGGTCACACTAATGTTGTTATAAGGATTAAGTAAGATAATGTGTATAAAATGATTTGTACATAGTAGGTTGTTAGCAAATACAAGCTACCGTTCTATAATCGTACTTTATAATCTGTATTTCTACCCCCCAAATTTTGGGGAGTATATCCTAAAATCTGGGTGGATGAGACACCCCTGGTGTCCTTTCAGGGCAACAGTGTAAGCTGTGCTCTTTTCTGTCCTATTAGATCCTGAAATATTTTGCCTGGGAACCTTCATTCAAAGACCAAGTCCACAACCTTCGGAAGAAAGAGCTCAAGAACCTGCTGACCTTTGGGCAATTGCAGTCTGTGATTACATTTCTCTTGTACTTAACTCCTGTACTGGTGAGTGACATGAGTCAGTGGGCTGGGTTAGCTTCCTGAAGAAGGTCTGTTCTAGATAGACTGCCCAGCACCTCTAGGCCTGACCTCAAAATCCAGGGAACTCAGGCCCACTCCTCAACTCCCCAAACTGCTATTCCTACCTCATGCCCCCAACTCTAGTTTCACCCTTGTATACAATTTGGTGGTCTGGCAGCCCAGAGCAAGTTGCTGGGATATTCAGCATGAATGTGGCATCCAGGAGTGGTTTGCATAGAAAGGCTTCTTGTCTTCTTGTCTTCTTGGGGAGCCTCTATGGGTCTATAGAGGAAGGAATACTGACATAGGAGCCAGGAGACCTGAGCTCTCATCCCAGCATGCCATTAATTGACTTGGTGACCATGGGTAAGATATTTTCTCGTCTTCTGGGCTCAGCTGTATCATCTGTAACATGGGAAGGTTGAGATAATCCCTAAGACTCCTTCAACTCTGATGTGCTGTATTCCTGAGACTTAGCACAAGGCTGCTTGAGCCCTTTTAGGAATAAATTGCTCATGACTGCTTTTCCAGGTGTCTGTGACCACATTTTCAGTTTACGTCCTGGTGGATAGCAATAATATTTTGACTGCAGAAAAGGCTTTCACCTCCATCACCCTCTTCAATATCCTACGCTTTCCCATGAGCATGCTTCCCATGTTTGTCTCCTCTGTGCTCCAGGTATGTAGGAACTCTCACTGTTAACTGATTATCTCTGATTAAAAGCCTTAGATTACAGAATGACTGGCCTTACATGTCTCATTTCTAGCTTCTGCTGGTGAACTTGCAATTAGAGAGATTTGTTTGGTCTCTGGGGAACAATGGTTTGATCTTAGTAATATCACAAGCTCTCTCAGCCCCAGTTTATCTGACTATAAAATGAAGATGATCATACCAATCTCATCTACCTCACAGGGAGACAATGCTTGTGAAAGCATTAGTGAGATTATTATGATTAGCCCTGGCACCTGGAACATTTCTAAGCCCTTTTCTCAGCCCAGTTTCCCCCACATTTTCCCAAAGCTCTTGAGGTATTTAGGCATTAGGGAACTATGGCATGAAGGGAGACGAAAGACTCTCTCTTTGCTTGAAGCCATGTGATGGTAAAACCAAAGGCAATTTGGGAGTCTCAAGCTGTCAGAAAGTGAGTTTGGAGTTCAGGAGGCCTTGGATGGGCCAGAGGGAGTGTCTGGGTCCTGAACACTAAGCAGAGCCACTGAGACGGACCAGGTACCAGACCTCAGGAAGAAGATCACAGGGCAGATGGCCAACTGGTGAGGCAGCCAGGATGATGGAGTGTGGTGATCTGCGCTCATTTCAGAGGTGGCTGACTTCCGACAACTCAGGCCATAGAAAGGACTGGGGTTTAGCAGAAGACCTCCTTGTCCCTGACATATTGGGCTGATAAAAAACAACATGCTGGGGCCAGCCCCGTGGCTTAGCGGTTAAGTGCGTGCGCTCCACTGCTGGAGGCCCAGGTTCGGATCCCGGGCGCACACCGACGCACCGCTTCTCCGGCCATGCTGAGGCCACGTCCCACATACAGCAACTAGAAGGATGTGCAGCTATGACATACAACTATCTACTGGGGCTTTGGGGGAAAAATAAATAAATAAATAAAATCTTAAAAATAAAAAATAACATACTCTTTTTAGATTCAAATGGTTTATTACATAGATAAAAAAAGCAAGATCAGCAAAAGTGCTAGCTCCTTGCATTCCCTGTGGCACAAGATGACACTGAAACAAAAGGGGCCAGATGACAATGCGTCAGGGGCAGTGGAGCACTCTGTTTCTGAGGAGCTGATCCATGCAGCAGCTGAGCAGTTTTACAGCCTGTGGTCACACTCTAAGGAGAGGGCAAAGCAGAAAGCCCAATGCTTCATCAAAACCCAGATGGTGATGAGGAACCATCTTGTGACGGCCTCCCTGGAAGATAGGGAGGCAGGTGAGAAACATCCTTGTAAAAGCTCCTGGAAATCCTCCCAAGTTCTCATGTTCCGGGAGGACCACAGGATGCTCTGCCAAAGCTTAGATCAGCTGCAATTTAAGGTTGGCCTGTGTGGCCTATGTGGAGATGTGCAAGGTCATTATGGTGACGTGGCCAACTCCCCTACAGAGGGTCCCATTAGTGGCTCAGTTAGGACACTGGATGACTCATCAAGGCATGGACTCAGTTAAGGAAGAACACGCCAGGGGCCTAATTACAAGAACCAGATAGAAGTTAAGGTTATGTCTTAGAGAGAGGCAAGAGATTTTCTGGAACCAGAAAGACTGGAGAGATAGCAGGAGAGTTGACCTCCCCCAACCAAGTTGTCTGAGGAGCTGAAACAGAGCATCTTAATTTTCCTCTGTCCAGAGTGGGATGGTCCTAGGGCTGAGGTGTGGCTGAGGTGAGTCTGTGATGGGGTCGGGAGGTTCCAGCTCTGGCAAATGGCAAATTATGGACAAGAAGCCTAGCAGGTTAACTATGTGCTTCCACATCCAAGGCTGATGACAAAGTCAAAATCCTCTCCCTGTTTGTGCTTGTCATTGGATATTTTATTCTTGCAATCCTTTGTGTCCTTCTCTAGGCCAGTGTTTCTGTAGAACGGATAGAGAAGTACTTGGGAGGGGAGGACTTGGACACATCTGCCATTCGACATGACTGCAACTTTGGTAAACGAACTTGGATTTACTTCCCAAACTTCTGGCACCAGAATTTTGATAGACAAGGGCTCAGCAGCAGCAAACTGGTTGAAGGGAGAGCTAGGGGACTGCTCTTGAACTTATATTTGCATAATAAGCATAGTGTTTTTACTTAAATTATGTTTTCATTTAGAACAGATTGCTTAGCCAGATTGCTAAGCAAAGCTGGGCCAGCTGTTCTGAGGATAAGCAAGGAATCCTGCAAAAGATCTAGAAAGCAGGATGGAGCCAAGCATGTGGAATTGGGAACCTAGGATGGAGTGAAAGAACACACAGGTTCTGGAGGTTTAAGGACTGAGGGGCATCCACAGCCAGAGCGAGCAGTGGGTCTGGAATCCAGGGTAGAGAGTGGCTGGATGTACATATGCAGGTGGAATTTGTACCAGGAGACTAGGTGAGGTGACAGAGGGCCTGAGAATGTACCCAAGTGTCTGTAGGTCAGGAATGTGGGCTACCAACAAGCTTGGGACTCCTGAATCAAAAAGAACTTCATATGCAAGCACCTTCTGGTCTTATCCCAGGAGCATTTGTTTGCCTCCTGTTGGCATAGGAGCCAGCACTTGACAGAGGTGATCTCGGGATCTACTGGAGGAAGTGGAGAGGGACACGTGAGGACTGAGAAAGGGCCAACTGATGTGGGGACCTGCATCTGACTAAAAGATGGGACGTTTTTCTTAACAGACAAAGCTGTGCAGTTTTCAGAGGCCTCCTTTACCTGGGACCAGGACATGGAAGCCACAATTCAAAAGTGAGTTGCCCCCTTTCCATCCTGCTGTTCTTCAGGATTCTCAATAACAGTCCCGTTATTAGAAAATTCTGTGTAATAAAACACATGGGGAAACGAGCTATGTGCACATGTTCAGTTAGATACCAGTGTAAGCTAAACCCCTGAAGGGGTGACTGACAGCAAAGATCCTGAGCTTCTTTGCCCATAACTGCATCTGCCACCCTGCTTTCCTTGTGGGACTACACACATCCAGCTGAGAACTCATGAAGACATTTGTTCTCCAGATTGTGGATGGAGGTAGTACAGGGCTGGCAGGTGGCCTAGGTCTCTGGGTATGGTAGAGGATACACACAAGAACCTGAGCTCAATTTCAGTTCATTCATTCATTTAAGAATAGTAATCAAGAACATTGGAATCTGGCTTCTTTCCCCAGAGTGGACAATGGGAGCTGAATAAGATTCAATTTCAGATCTGGAGTTTTATATCTAAATAACCCATTCCCATATCCCACCCTGTAGGCCGGCCACTTGCTCTGCCTTAAGACAATCCCTTAATGCCACATTGCTGCACGTAATGTGTTTCTTAAGCTACGTGTAACAGGAGACCCAATTCACCCACTGAGCACAGCAGGAAACTGAGCAGGTGGATCTTTCTTTCTCCACAACCAAGCATACCTTATCATCTCCTGGCTACACCCAGGACTTTCCACCCTTCTTTCCTGTTCCTGCAGCCTTTAACATGGACTCTGGGGCTTGCCCCAGGATATGTCAGGCCAGAAGTTCCTCCTCTGAACCCTCCCAACCTGAAAGCCTCCCTTTGCAGAGAGGAGACTGGACATAGCTCCCATTTTGTTAGTATAAGTCTAGAAGAAGTTAGCTCGATAGGCAGGTTCAGAAAGATGGTGAACAAGTTCCTGATGTTCCTAATGTTCCAGGGACTCAAATAATAGGGCTGGCACACAGAGTTTCCAGGGATCTAGCCCAGTGTGGGACTCTTCCCCACCACACACAGCCAAGCCTTCAGGAGATAGGGCAGGGAATCTGTGCTTTCAGCAAGTACTTCCATTGAATGGCTGTTCTCATTGAATAGCCAAGTTTGGGAAACATTAATCTAGTCTAACCTCATTAGTTTAGAAATGAGAGTCTAGAGGAAGTAACCTTCCAAGATCACGTAGCTCAGCAGTGGTAGAGTTGGAACTTGAACTCAGGACTCCAGGCTCCCACAAGAGTCTTATTCAGTGGTACCATGTTGGTTCTAAGAGAATTTTTCCAGTTGAAACCCACATTTGGCACAAACACACACACAAAAAGGATCATTAAAGAAGAACTTTGGAGTCTTGTATATCCAAGACAAATTTTCCAGTCTTCTCATGGCGAATCTGAGAAGTGGAATAACTCCCATCATCTCTTTCAAACACACTTCTCTCTTTCAGTGTGAACCTGGACATTATGCCAGGCCAGTTGGTGGCTGTGGTGGGCACTGTGGGCTCTGGAAAATCCTCCTTGATGTCAGCCATGCTGGGAGAAATGGAAAATATCCATGGGCACATTACCATCAAGGTGAGAGAGAATGCCAAGAAGAAGACTTCTGACACTTGAATGTGGGCCGCTTAGTGCTGCTTTCTCATTTAAGAGAACGCACTGAGGACTAGAATCTGATAAGCACTGTTGTGTTGCTATAGGTGAGGTCTTGGGGACATCTGGTAGACTTGTAAACTGTAGATTGTTTGCCCCACCCTACGTATATAATCAGACTCTGGGATAGATTCTATGAAGCTGCACTTTTAATGAGCTCCCCAGGTTATTCTCATATGCATACTAAAATTTGAAAACTGTTGAATAGAGATGTCTTCCTTCACAGTCTAAGCAATTCTGCTCTATGTTTCTGAAAACCTCACGTTCTACAAAATTGTGCAATAAAAATAACAGGGCCTAGAGAGAAAGAGTTGGAACAGATCATTAAAAACTTACATAACTTTGTAACAAGGGTACAAATAAAAACAATAACAACAATAACAATAAAAACAGTAGCACTGTAAAATTTCCACTGGCATTTACACCCAGCATCACAATTAGTTCTGGGTCTCCCACCTTCTCTTTTGAGATCTTGGTCTTTGAGGGTACTTGCTTCCAATACAAAAATTTGATGTAGTATGTAGATATCTTCATCAATTATGATTTTTTTTAACAGAGAGGAAATCTTTTCCTGGCATCTTCATCAGCACTCTCAGCTTCCCCAGAGAGCTAAATTTAGGGGACACTATAGGTACTTGGAATCATTTAACCAGCTACTACCTGCACCAAAAAAAGGCATGTCTATAGATTTTTAGCTTTTTTCCTTCATATATTTAAATATATAAATAAATATATATAAAGCCTTTCTTTTTAATTATGAGAAAGTTTGTCCCTGATTGCTTTACACTGACGTGCTTGAAAAAAATTTTAAGAATCAACACTTCTTCCATGTTGTACTGACATTATTCCCTGATTTATCAGTCACTAATGAGCTAATTTGCATTAAATAAACATGCAGTATAGCAGAATAGCCTCTACAGATTTAGCTCTGTCCCCTAACTCCTTTTAGGAAGCTTTTTCTTGCTAAGTCATAACTGAGTCCATCCTCAAACGCAGGCATCTGTCAGGTTACATCTCTCTTTGGACATGATCTGCTTCATGTATCAGCCTGGTGCCCTGATTCCAATCTCTTAGTTCTTGCTTCCTAAAATGTCATCTATAACATTTCCCCTGTCAGTGTTAGCTCTCTGTTGGTCCTAGAAAACTCACTGGGGTCTGACTAAAACCCTGTTCTAGAAGCAGCCCATGCATTTATCCTCTGATTTTCAGGATCAAGGCTAGAAAGTGATAGTCAAAAAAAGGAGTATTTAAATGGTGAATAGGATATTGAATCTTTCTCCCTGGGTGGTAAAATAAATACAAGCACATTTGTAAATATCAGAGGCTCAGTCAGCCTGACATACATTTCTTCAAATCTAGGTTCCATTTGTTCTTTCCCCCTCCTGCCACCCCTTCCTTCAACCCTGCATTTCTGGAAGTACCACTGTCATATGGTCTGATCCTCCCCATCTAGGGCACTGTAGCCTATGTCCCACAGCAGTCCTGGATCCAGAATGGCACCATAAAGGACAACATCCTTTTCGGGGCAGAGTTGGATAAAAAGAGATACCAGCAAGTTCTGGAGGCCTGTGCCCTCCTCCCAGACTTGGAAGTGCTGCCTGGAGGAGACCTGGCTGAGATTGGAGAGAAGGTACTTGGGACACCAAGGGACCTTGAAGGGTGAAGAAATAGCGAAGAAAAAAAATGAGGATGGTGAAGAAGTACATGGGAGTAAAATAGTTGACCAATTTTGGTAGTCATGTTTGGAACAAATATCAGAAAACATGAGTTCACACAATATTTTGTAATTTAAAATTTTGTGCCTGGAAGCAAATATAGGAATTAGGTTAATCTAAAGGTAAGATGATGAGGCTAGGACCTGAGAGGTTAAGTAACCAGTGACTGGCTCAAGGTTGACCTTACAGGTGGAGGGGCAGAGGTGGGACCAGAACATAAATGTCCTGACTCTACTTCTGTATATTAGTGAGGGCCAGAGTAGGGTTCTAATACTCTGCTTCAAACACTTAGAAATTTAGTGTGAATTATTTTCTCAGGTTATTAAATGCCTTTTTTAAAAATCAATTTTTAATGACTATATTGTATCCATCATATGGATATAGCATAATTTGTTTAGAAATCCCTGATTACTACATATTTAGGGTGTTTTCATCCTCCCTCTCCATTACTAAAAATGAATACAGCAATCTTTTGGAGACTAGGATCTTGAGATGTTAGAAGACTAGTAAGATACAGCTCTGGAGAGATTTTGTTCATTAATTAAACTTACATTTACTGAGTACCTATTATGTGCCAGACACTATTTTAAGTGGTGGAGTTATATCCATAAATGACAGAGAAAATCTGCCCTAGTATAGCTCTACATTCTCATGAAGCAGGAAGCAAGAAAAAGGATAAATAAGTAAATTATATGATAGAAAATGGTAAGTTGGGCATACTTTTAATTATTGGGCCTAAAGTAGTTTATTTGAACCAAAGTTATTTATTTGTATAAAGGAACTTATAAGATTTTTAAGCCATTGATACCTTGTTGAGGCAAATGTCTTCCTTATCCCTCCTTAATAGCTCTGTGAAGTTGGGACTATGGAGTAGTGCTTAATAGAAATTATTTTCTTCTTCAGGGTATAAATCTTAGTGGGGGTCAGAAGCAGCGGATCAGCCTGGCCAGAGCTACCTATCAAAATTCAGACATCTATATTCTGGATGACCCCCTGTCAGCTGTGGATGCTCACGTGGGAAAACATATTTTCAATAAGGTCTTGGGTCCTAATGGCCTATTGAAAGGCAAGGTGAGAAATTATTTAAAGTGATGAAGACATGAAAGGGGCATACACATCTCCTAGGAATGCTGCTGTTCTGAAGCAGATTTCCCTATTTATCTGCCCACAGGCTGCTGAGGAGATACAGTGTCAGACTGGTCTCCTGGGAGACAACCCCATGAAGGCTCCCATCTTGAGGTCAGGGCTTATGCTGGAACTGGCTAGTTTGAGCCTTATTCTGTGGCTCCAACATTGAGCCTCTTAGGATGATTGATTATGATAAAAAGTACTTTGAGACCTACGGTACAAATGGTATAAATTTATTTATATTTATTATACCTATGGTATAAATTTATTTATATTTATTATAAATAAATAGTTATATTTATATTTAAATATATAATATTTTATATTTATAAAAATATTAAATATATTTAATAAGAAATATATTTGGTCTTTGTCTCCAGTTCCTGGCATGGAGCTCCTAACCCTTAGAATTTCCTGGGTGACATTAGGAATGTCTTTTGTTATTCATAATGAGCCCCTTTACATCACACCTGAGTTTGTGCTAATGCGTGACTTATGATGGGGCCCCTAGATAGCCTTGGGACAGGGCTATTCACTCAAAGACCAAATGATGGGAAGGTTGGAATTTTGAGCCCCATCCACCAACCCTGGGGGAGGGCAGGAGGGGCTGGAGATTGGGTTATAAAAATTCTTAAACAACGAGGTTCAGAGAGCTTCTGGGTTGGTAAACACATTAAGATACTGGAAGAGTGATGCACCTGGTAAGAGCATGGAAGCTCCACACGTGCACCTCCTCCTATACCTTGCCCTATGCATCTCTTCCATTTGACTGTTCTTGAGTTGTATCCTTTATCATAAACCAATAAATGTAAATAAAATGTTTTCCTGAGATCTATGAGCCATTCCAGCAAATTATCAAACCTGAGGAGGGGGCTATAGAAATCCCCAACTTATAGCTAGTTGGTCAGAAGTACAGGGGGCCAAGACTTGTGACTAGCATCTGACGTTGGGGCAGTCTTATGGGACCGAGCCCCTAAGGTGTGGGGTTTGTGCTAATTCCAAGTAGTTAGTGTCAGACTTGAACTGAATTGTTGGATATCCAGCTGGTGTCAAAGAATTGGTTGGTGTCAGAAAACACGCCAGAGGACCCAACAACTCACCTTGCTGGTGGGACACAGAGCATTCTGCAGGTATTAGAGTTATGCTCTAAGAAGGCACTTTCCTAGAACCCTTGTAGGATGTAGGAACACTATGCATGGAAAGGATAACTCAACTTGATCACAGAAATAAAGCTAACACTTTTTGAATATTCATTATGTCCCAGGCCCGTGCTAAGCATTATGATTGCATCGTCTCATTGATTCTCAAACGATACTATCTTTTGCTAGTATCTTTGAGATAGTACAGATAAAGTGGCCAGAGCAAGTCATTAGAGCTGGTCGTAGGTGGAGACTAGGCTTTCTTTACCATGGGCAAGTTAGAGCATTTGTCCTGACACAGTGGGCTGAATGGGAGAGGGTCTGACAAAGCCCCTGGAGGGTTTGAATGTGCTCCTCACCAGCAGCAAATGTAGAGTGGTGGCTGTCAATAACAACATCTCCCTCAGCACTGGGCAGTAAGACTCCATCTGTATTTGGCCTGTTCCCTTCAAGAATTCTTGAATGCTGCCAGTCAGAGGATGTTAGGGTTGACTGGGCTGCTGTCCCACTGAGGCTCTTTTTCTTTCTCTTGGATCAGTGAATCAACAGGAACTCACTCTCCCTCCTATTTGTAGTCCTGGCTTCTGTCCTTAAGGCCTCTTGGCTCCATTCATTCATGAACTGAATATTCACCTCGTGCCTGGTTCGTTGCAAAGACTGGGTATGCATGGTTGAAAAAGTTTAGTCCCTGCTCTCAAGTAACTTACAGTCAAATGGGAAGACATATAGAAAAGCAAACAATAATATTATAATACAAGAATTATTTTAATGGCAGTCTATGCAAACTACAGTGGAAACATTGGTGGAATACACAAGTCTTGCTTGGGGATCAGGAAGGCTCCCAGAAGAGTTGGCTTTGAGCTGAGACTTGAAGGATGAGCATCTCCTGCGTCTTCCAGATAAGAGGGACCTAGTCTCTATGGGGCTAAGAAGTAGAGAACAGAAGCGGTGGGCTTGGGTTGTCTGTCCGGAGGCCTGTCTCAACGCTGTGGTCCCTACCTTAGCCTCATTACTGATATATGAGTGTTTTGTCTTTCTTTGAGTGGAGTTCCTGTTGCAGTAGTCAGTGTGGTTCATAAATAGGAATACAAGGGATGCCAAGTCTCCCACACCAGGAAGGGCCTGGGCCAGAGACAAAGTTTCTTGCCTTAATATGCGGAAAGAATCTGGGCAGTTCTTGTTAGTTCAGTTGGTTAGCTGGTTAGTGAAAGGGGCAGTTAGTTAGCTAGTTATTTAGTCAGTTTTGTATGCATCAGTTATATTGATAGGCCTTGATCTCAAGTGACATTCCTAAGCCCAACTCTTGGCTACCCAGGAAGCTGGAGGAGAATGTGTGTAAGGCAAACCTCATTGTCACTACGGGAAAATAACTGTGAATATATCCACAACGACAGGAGTCTCATCTTACACCTAGGATCAGGTTTTAGGATGAGGTGCTGGGAAGGAAAAAGGAAGTAAAAGAGTCAAGTGGTCAGGACCACATTTTGAAGCAAAGCCCCACAGTGAATTGAGGCATCTGTTTTTCCTTTTTTAAAGTAAGCCAAGGAAGGTGGTGGACATAGGGTAGTCAGCACAATTTATTGTTATTTTTACAGACTCGACTCTTGGTTACACATAGCATTCACTTTCTTCCCCAAGTGGATGAGATTGTGGTTCTGGGGAATGGCACCGTCTTGGAGAAGGGATCCTACAGCACTCTGCTGGCCAAGAAAGGACTGTTAGCTAAGAATCTGAAGACATTCATAAAACAGACAGATCCTGAAGGAGAGGCCACAGGTATGTAAGGAGGATTGGAACAGGATAGAATTTGGGTATGGGAAAGGGTGGGAATGGTAAACCACTATTTACCCTTCTGAGCTGATAATTATCCAGAAAACTAGATTTGTAAGTGAATTACCCAGAGATTCCAGATTTATCCAAAATCTGTCCTTTCTATGTTTGTGTCTCTGTAAAGAAACACAGACAGAAACTCTATGCCTGAACCAATCTGGGGCTCATCCTGCCCATCTGGTCTCTGACAAGCCATCGAATGGCACTGTTTAGAAAGGTATGACTGGGGTTTTGGCTTGACTAGCCCTTGTGGAAGAAACAACAGTGGCATGAGAGATGCCCTCTTAGAGATGCCCTACTTCTTTTGACTCAAGACACGCATCCTACCCCACCTACCCCAAATCCATTAAAACCACTTCTTGAACAGCTTTATAGGCTGGTACTAATAGTGTGCTGCTAATTTCTTGATAAGCCCTAACAAAAGGAAAGGATCTTTATTAATACACCAAAAACCACTGGGTGTTTTGAACTAGAAAAAATCACGGCAGTTGCATAGTCTCATAGTCTACCACAGAATAGCTGATACCCCTACCATTGGTCACTGATAAGCTCCAGTCGGCAATGGAGTCTTATTCCCTGGGGTTCTTCCCAAGAACCTGCCAACAGTAGTCCTGTGCATATTCTGGGTATATACTTCAGGTAGCAGGATTGAGAAGGCGAGATCTGGAGGGTGCAGGGGCATTCCAGGAGTCAGTCAGAAGAGAGAGTAGCTACAGAGCCTACAAGTGGGAGTACATTCAAGACTTGAGGTCAGGACATGTGGTGGTTTACAACTGCCCTGGGAGCACAAGAGAGGGAAAGAAAAGCCTAAACGAGGAAGTCTGTAAGTGTTGGAGGGACAAGGCAGGAACAAAGAACAGGATGGTGTGGGCAACAAGAATTGGGAGCCAGCCCAGGAAAGTGGGGCAGAGGTACCAGGGACCAGCAGAAAGGAAGGGGTCAGAGCTTTCCATCAGCCTTTATGTGCCCCAGGGACTGGCCTGGAGAAAACAAAAAGCACCTGCCTGGGGAGTGAAGGTCCCAAGCAAAGGGCTCCATCAACCACGTCACTGTGACTGGGACAGTTTTCTTATGCCAATTCTAAACATTTTTTCCTTATTTGACTGAGCTAATTTTTTTCTGATTTGAGTTTCTGGACTCTTTTATAAACTCTCATGGATGGATGGCCCCTTTGAAGAATCCTATCTTTTATGTACAAAGGACGGTTTGCAAAATAGCTCATTAAGCCCTTGTTCTGATAAACATTCATAGGTCATTTCTGAGCAGTGACATAAGCCCCAGTGCCTGGCACGCTGTTGTGTTGGTTCTGGGACTTCAGGTACAGACCAGGAGGTGGTAGGGTGGAGGGAAGGGCAGGAGGGCGAGGTGACCTGTATTGATATTGGCTCTGCGTATTATATTCCTAATTAGCTGCTGCAACAAAGCACTACAAACTGAGTGGCTTAAACAGCAGAAATTTATTGTCTCACAGTTCTGGAGGTTGGAAGTCCAAAATCAAGGTGTCAGCGGGATTGGTTCCTTCTGAAGGCAACAGAGAATGATCTGTTCCAGGCCTCTCTCCTAGCTTTGACTAGGCAAGTCAGTCTCCGGTTTGACACCTTGGCATTCTTGGCATATAGACACATCACTTCCATCTCTGCCTGCATCTTCACATCGTGTTTTCCCTTCTGCATATTTCTGTGTCCAAATTTGCCCCTTTTATAAGGACATCAGACATATTTGATTAGGGGCCTATTGCACTCCAGTCTTACCTCATCTTAACTAATTACATCTGCAATGACCCTGTTTCCAAATGAATTCACATTCTGAGGTAGTGGAGATGACAACACATGAATTTTGGGGGGACACAATTCAATCTATAACATCTGTCCTCTGACACCCCAAAATTCATGTCCTTCCCATAGGCAAAATGCATTCACCCCATCCCAACATCCTCCAAATTCTTAATCATTTCAGTATCAGCTCTAAGTCCAAAATCTCACCTAAATGTCAATTTATTTATTTACTGTTTTGATAACGAAGATTGGCCCTGAGTTAACATCTGTACCAACCATCCTCTATTTTGTATAGGTGACGCCGCCACAGCATGGCTTGATGAGCGATGTGTAGGTCCACGCCCAGGATCCGAACCTGCAAACCCTGGGCCACCAAAGCGGAGCTCGCAAACTCAACCACTACACCACCAGGCTGGCCCTTAAATGTCAATTTAAAGGCCCAAATTTGGGCTGGCCCCGTGGCTTAGCAGTTAAGTGCACGCACTCTGCTACTGGCAGCCTGGGTTCAGATCCTGGGCGTGCACCGACGCACCGAAGCACCATGGCTTCTCCGGCCATGCTGAGGCCGTGTCCCACATACAGCAACTAGAAGGATGTGCAGCTATGACATACAACTATCTACTGGGGCTTTGGGGAAAAAATAAAAGAAGGAGGAGGATTGACAATAGATGTTAGCTCAGAGCCTGTCTTCCTCAGCAAAAAGAGGAGGATTAGCATGGATGTTAGCTCAGGGCTGATCTTCCTCACAAAAAAATAAATAAGTAAATAAAACTGTTAAAAAATAAATAAATAAATAAAGTCCCCAATTTCATCACCTAACTCACTCAAATCAGTTGTGGGTGAGACTTGGAGTTCTGGGGCAAAATGCTTCTCCATCTGCGAGCCTGTAAAACCAGATGAGTTATCTGCTCCTAAAATACAGTAGTGAGACAGGTATAGGATAGACATTTCCATTGCAAAAGGGAAAAATCAGAAGGAAAAAAGGGATCACAAATCCCCAGCAAATCCAAAACCTAGAAGGGCAAATTCCATTAGATTTTAAAGTTTGATAATAATCCTCTTTGGCTTGATGCTCTGTTCTCCTGGCTCACTGGGGTGGTGGCCCTACCCTTTCCAGCCCTGGGCAGTGGTTTTACCTTCTGAAACTGAGGAGCAGACAACCCCTGAATTGCCTTCAGGGTCATTTTCCCCTTTTCTTGAAGGATAACACATGTTCATGGCTGGATAGCTCTATTGACTCATTTTCTGCCTATAGAATCCCAGAAGTCTGACAGTGTTCCTTCATTTCATCCCATCTCTTTCTCCTACAGTCCGAGGTGGCAGCATTTCTGCTAAGATAGTTAATTGGATCAAGTCACATGCCTAATCTCTTTAGCAAACCTGCTATTGAGACTTTATAGTGAATTTTTCATTTTATTTATTGTACTTTTCAACTCTAGAATTTCTATTTTCTTCTTTTTAAATAATTTCTATCTCTTTATTGATGTTCTCTATTTGAAGAGAACTCATTCTCATACTTTCCTTTATATCTTTAGACATGGTTTCCTTTTGCTCTTTGAACATGTTTATAATAGCTGATTTAAAGTTTTTGTCCAGTAAGTCCAATGTCTGTGCTTCCTCAGGTACAGTTTCCATTGACTGCTTTTTTCCTGTGTATGGTCCCATACTTTCCTGCTTTTTTGTATGTCTCATAATTTTTTGTTGAAAAATGATCTTTTTGAATAGTGTAACAACTCTGGAAATAAGATTTCTCTCCCCTTCCTCCTCCACCAGTGTTTGTTGTTGTTCCTCCTATTTAGTTTCCTGAACTAATTCTGTTAAGTCTGTATTCCCTGTCACATGTGGCCACTGAAGTCTCCGCTTGTTTGGCTTAGTGATCAGCTAATGACTGGACAGAGATTTCCTTAAGTACCTGGAGCAATAAGTCACTCAGCCTTTGCTGAGAGGCTCTGTGTGTGGGGAGGAGAGTGGGGGTGGACATGTCTTCAACATTCCAGCAGGCAACTTAGAATTCTGCCTCAGCCTTTGTTTCTTGTTTGCACAGAGCCTGAAGGTTAGCCAGAGGTAAGAGAATAGGGCCTTCTCAAGTCTTTCTTGGGCATGTGCACAGCCCTATACATATGTATGACATTCTAGATTGCCAGGAATATATTGAAAATATCAAAACTCCCTATGGATATCTTATTCCCCAGCATTTCCTTTTAAGTTTCTGGTCAGCTTCTTATTTGCCCCAACTGTTATCACCACCACAAGCAGCAGTGATCTTAAACAACTGCTGCTGATTGTTTGAGCTAGCTCCAAGTCAGGTCCAATCAAGACAAGCCCTGTGAATGAGGTTTTCCAGGGAACTGCCGGAGAGGTCAGATAATGACAATTCTCCAGGGATGAAGCTTTTGGGGGAGTTATGAACACACTCTCTTCCCTCCAGCAGCTGCTAGGCTGCTGGTTTTTGTGGTTACTTTGATTGTGAGGCTGTTGATTTTCTAGGCTCCAGCAGATCTGATGAGGAGGATGGGAATAGGGTAAATTAAATTATCATAAAGCCTACTATTCTTACTGAGATTTAGCCATTTTTATTAAAATAAATGCTTCTTGGATTGTTGCTAACCTTTAGTTAACTTCAGAGAAATGAAAAAGTTGATTTTGACAATTTTCTTGCCAGTATTCTCATTGCTTTTATGAGGTACCGATTTCCAGAGGTCCTTACTCTACCATTCTCACTGATGCCCAGGCTATGTTTTACATTTTATTTTATTTTATTTTCAGGGTATGTTTTTTAAATGCTTTAAGTTCATAAAAGTTTGTCAAATTATTTTAATTTCAAAAAGAGCATTTTTAATTTACACTCACTTCTGTGGTCAGTTCTTGGAATTATGACTCTTCTGTTTGTCTACTATAACCCTTAAAAGTTCTTTCCTGCCTTAAAGGAACTTAGAAGCTTCTGGGAATATTTTTCTCATTTTTGACCATTTTCTCTACCAGTGGAATGTTAACTCATTTCTCCCTTATCCTGGTATTTCTCAATGAGATGTACTAATAAATAGTATTTCTGGAGTAAAAGATTCCAGCCTCTGTGTACATCTGAGATCTCTTGCTGAGGCCAGCAAGATCAGAAAAGACCTCTCTCCTTGTTCATAGGGCTGTGAGAGCTCTATGCTATCTCCCTAACTTTTGATGTGTCTCCTAGTTAATGAGGACAGTGAAGAAGAAGATGACTATGGGCTGCTGCCCAGTGTGGAGGAAATCCCTGAGGATATGGCCTCCTTCACCACAAAAAGAGAAAATAGCCTTCGTCGAACACTTAGCCACAGGTTGGTCATCTATTCAGCTAGCAGCCTCATCACTTCCGTATTTCCACTTGATCATTCTTTTTTTCTCTGTGGCTTGTCCTGAGAGAGTGGACACCATGGACACTCCCAGCTCTTCCTTTGTTTCCTTTTATGGGGAAGAGGGTTGGGGTGGTGTGTTTCCCTTATGGCCATCTGCTCTGAATGCACTTTGATGCAAGCAAAATGCGTGTGACGTTTGCTTGTAGTGTCAGGATGCATCTACATACTCAGGAAAGCTTTCCCCCTCTCAATCTCTCAATTCCAGGTCCAGTAGCAGGCGTCTGAAGTCCCTAAAAAACTCCTTGAAAACTCGGCATGTGAATACCCTGAAGGAGGGGGAAGAAGTAGTGAAAGGACAAAAACTAATTAAGAAGGAATTCATACAAACTGGAAAGGTGAACACCACAATAAAAAGTACTGTTAGTGGTGACATAAGGCTCAGGATCTGAACATTTTAAAGTTTGGTGACTTGAATACATACGTACAGGAGGGATATGTCGTATGTGCTTTGCAAATCTTTAAATTCATTGAAACGATATTAGAGGCTTTGGGCTTTCTATCAAATCGTATTTCCCTGAAGAATGACATGATTCCTGTGAATATCCTCATACCACACTACAGAAGTGTTTGATTCCATTCTGATATGTAGAGAAAACAACAAAACTGCTTTGAGGTGCAATTCTGGGAGGTAGAGAACACTAACATATCAATCTCGGAGCACACAATTCAAATTAATAAAACTTAAAACCAAGGTCTTAAATTTAAGGTAACTTAAATCCAAATTAATAAAACAAATTCCAAGGTCTCCAGTATAATCCCATCTGTCCCACTTATATATCTTCTAGAAGCTCATTAATAATCTGATGGTTATTTACCCTGCATTGTATTTTAGCATTGGTTATTATCCTGGCCCAGTGCAGAAAAGGTGACCAAATTTTGCTACATGCTATCCACTTTTCTAGGGGACTCCACTTCCCCTTGTGATTGGTATTCTAGGTAATTCCTCACCAAAAGCCATTAAGAATTCTACTAATATTGAGATGGGGGTTTTGCAGGTAAAGTTCTCCATCTACCTGAAATACCTAGGAGCAATAGGATGGTTTTCGATAGTCTTCATCATCTTGGCCTATATAATGAATTCTGCGGCTTTTGTTGGATCCAACCTCTGGCTCAGTGCTTGGACCAGTGACTCTATTACCTTCAATGCCACCCACTACCCAGCCTCTCAGAGGGACATGAGACTTGGAGTCTATGGAGCTCTGGGATTAGCACAAGGTATGTCTGACGGCTACGACAGCCATCTATTACAAAATCTGTCTGGTCCATGAACTTTACTGGACTTGAAAAGTATTTGCCATTATGTGCTTGGCACAAGTCTTCAGGGATCCTTGTGCATGGTGCTGACTAAACTGGTTCCATTTCTAGGTGCATTTGTGTTAATAGCAAATATCTGGAGTGTCTATGGTTCAGCCCATGCATCAAACATCCTTCACAGGCAACTGCTGAACAATATCCTTCGAGCACCCATGAATTTTTTTGACACAACACCCATAGGCCGGATTGTGAACAGGTTTGCTGGCGTAAGTATCTCAAGGGCTGTAAGATGTATTTATATGCTGAGGATCTTTCTATTTCTGACAGGAAAAGAATTCTCATGTCCCCCTAGGCAACATTGTCCAGTTCCAGCTCTTTCGTCCACTCAGCATGCAAATGTTTTTTGAGTACCTTGTGTGAGGTCCTGAGGATCCTGGGGATACAGGGATGAACAGCTCTGGCCTTTTAAGTAGCTCACCATCTAGTGAGGGAGACAGCCAAGGAAATAAAGGATTATGACAGAATATGGTAAAATCAATAACAACGATGTGTACAATGGTATTCTAGGAGTACAAAAGAGTGACAGAGAACAGAGGTACTAGCTCACCCGGAGTGACTGAGAGTGGGAAATGTCAGAAAAGGTGAGACTTGAATTAAGTCATAGAAGTTAGCCGGGAGATGGTGGGGGTAGGGGGTGGGGGGTGGTAGTAGAAACAGGATTAGAAGGATTATTCTACAGAGGGAAAAACACAAGTAAAAGCACTATCACTGGCTGTGACAGTGAATAAAAGAGATAGGAGGATAACCCTCTGCTTAGCCTCTGCCTCCATTCCTGAAACTTCCATCTTTGATGCTTTAAGAATAAGTAAATTAGGTCTGGATTATGGAAGCGAGCCATCTATGATTTTAATGATGTTCTAAAACATAGTCTCCATCTACTACAGATCCTGGAACCCTTAGCATTCATTCATTCATTCAACAACCTTTATTGAGTACCTTCTATGAGCCGAGGACTATACTAGGCATTGGAATGCTCAATAAATGTTAAGATCATAGATGGCTCTCTTTCGTAGGCCAGACTGAACTCACTGATTCTTAATGCATTTGAGATGGAAATTTCAGGAACAGAGAAAGAAACTGGGCAATTCTGAGTAATATTCAACGATCATCAGTACAGTTTTTTGTCCTCTGTTTGTAGAAGAGGGAGCACATTTTTAAAAATGTCTGAGCGTCTCTGGACCCTTATTTATTTGGTCTTGGAGCAGACACAGAAAGGCTAGCTCACAGGCCACAGCCAGGCTCTGGGGACACAGTGACTACTTCAAAAGTGGGCAGGTGACTGATCCTCATTTATCACCTTCCTCTGGGATAAAAATAGTGGGCATGATGTCATTGGAGACAACTTCAATGGGCTCTCTGTTCTTTAATAAAATCTAAAAAAGCACACAATTTTCGATGCAGAGATTTCTCACAGGAATTTTGCAAAGATTACACACTCTTTTCTGATGTGGTAATATATATAAATAGTATTCTGAAAAAGAGAGCACAGAGATCTTACTGTGAGTTATGTAGACAATAGTCATATTTTGCTAACTGCTTTTGCATGAAAAAGAAAACCGTCATAACTATATAGCAAGTTTGTAGGGGAGGTGGCTCAGGCCTATAAAGGAGAGTTTGATCCAGGGTCCTCTAGAACCGATGGCTGAGCTCTTAAGAGGAGATGAAGAAGAGGGTGGAGGAAAGAAAGATGGAGAATCTGTGCCAGGTAAGGATCAAAAGTAATCTGTATAGAATTGATAGCTGGTAAGGATTTCTTTTTTCTGCCAACCCTGGACATATAGTTATTTGCGTTCTGATGTGACTTTGGGTAGAGTAAATTAGACCCAGGAGTCATCCACTTTTCAGGGCTCTCTTGGGAAACTATTATCCCTTACCCAGTTTGGGACACTCCAGAGATAATTGGAACTAACTTTAATACTCATGTATTACTAATCCTAGAATAAATATAATCTAAGAAATATAGGCAAGGGAAACCCAAAATATAAGCCAGGCTTCCTAAGAGTACTAAACCATCCATCTATCCATCCATTCATCCATCCATCTATCTATTCAATTACTCATTTATTAATTTATTCAACATGACATGAAGGTAATATGACAGTAAGACCTATCTGTCACCTCTGGGTTCCTTGGTTAGAACGCTGGCCAGGCAGGGATCACATTCAATCTCCACATCTCTCTCCCCTTGAAGGTCTATGCTTGTTAGAGGAAACAACTTCCCAAGTGGAGGATGGTTCTTCAGTCAAGGGTGGGTGACAGGGCTTGTTGACTGGAGCCTCCAAACAAATGTTTCTTGAATGCTTGTTTTGTGCCAGGTTCTGTTCTAGGTACCCAATGGAATTAGGACCTGTGTAAAGTTAGAATAATTGTATTGGCTCCTTTGTAGGAGGATTTACAAAGAGAGACTCCTTTGCCGAGTCTACTTAAAAAGGTGAAGGATGATTGCCATATCTGTTTGGGGGGATTTAGAAAGATTAAGAAATTACAGAAAGGAGATTGGTTATTGGGTTGAGCAGAACAGTCCATGGCAAATGAATATCCTGAAACAATTAAATGAAGGAGTCACTAGAAACCCAGAATTGAACAAATTCCCTGCTGGAATTGGGAAGATGTAAATGTCATAGGAATTCATATACCGTCTTTCCTAATTATGTGTTCCTAGGATATTTCCACAGTGGATGACACCATCCCCATGTCCTTGCGCAGCTGGATGTTGTGCTTCCTGGGGATAATCAGTGTCATTGTCATGATCTGCATGGCCACTCCAGTCTTTGTCGTCATCATTATTCCTCTTGGCATCATTTATGTGTGTGTTCAGGTAGGTTTGGAAATGGCTAGGTCTCCTTTCCTCTCTACTTATAAAAGCCCAGGCTCTTTCCTGAGAATCTTCTCTTTTGTTTATTGCTAGTCACTCACTCCTCTCCAGCATCTTTGTTGTTTAGTCATACATTGATATACTGAGGAGCCCACAGGCCACAGTCTGAAGTTGAAATGTCAGCACCAATTATTGTATGGTTCACAGCAAATCTCACCTTAACTGCTGCCCGCCTAGAAGCTTAAGTGGGGCAAATTTATGTTTGGATCCAAGACTAATTTGAGGTTGGCTCTGGATGAAGTCTTGAAGCTCTGTAAGACCCCTCACGATGGTTAGGTCATTGGTTGCTGCTAGATGAGTTGTGCTATGGCAGCTTCCTTCGTTGGCTTAGACTTATTTGCTTGGAGATGTCTCTGGTAGGAGTTATATCTCTTTTCACTTCAGGGCAGTTCTAGTTTCACTGGGATGTCTGTGGATGGCTTAGGCTCAATTCCAATGTGTTCTTGAGGGAACAGGTAGCTTAAGAGCCAAGCATAACAGAAAAACTGGAGCAAGTGGAAGGGACTTCATGCCCATAATAAAAACTGATGAGGAGAGGGAAGCAGTGGAGAGAACTCTTTTCCCACCAATTACCTTTGGGATGAACTGTTCACCTAGGGGAAAACAATTCTGAAGACATTGTATTCAAGGGCAGACTAGTGGCCTGTGGTAAGGTGATACCCCCTGGTGTTTGTGTTGACTTCCTCAGGTTCATTGTCATCTCCATAACAGCCTTTTGACTGTTAATAACAAACCAACAAATAAGAAGCAGGATATTTGAGGAAACTTCCAGGTATAACATTTTAAATTCTGACTCTCAAATGCTCAGCTCTTCCCTGGTTTCAACAAATCCTCACAGAATCTAGTAGCACCACTAACCCATTCCACTGAACCTTACCCTCCAGCCCTCATGTCTCAGAATGTCAGCCTGCACTCTCTATTACATCCAGTTCCGGTTCTTAGACCCTCAACATTTCACATACATTTTTCTAACTACTACTGTCATTTGGACAGTATATGCAGATTCTTGGGGAGAATATGGATTAGGCTGACCAAACTCCTGATGTGGTTTGGAAATTCAAACCTCTAACGCTGTGGTATAGTCTCCTCACTTTCATCCTCCTCTGTTCCCTACAAACCCCAGATATTCCCACCATCCTCTTCCTCTAGGCCTCTCTCATCATTCATTTAGCCAGAGGTGGGACTGGAAGCTTCTGTCCTGTTCAGATGTGGGCTATGGCCAACAAGGTGGAGAACGTTGAGTCATGGCCACAAAGGAAGAGGTACAGCATATGCAACATGATTGTGTGACTAACTGACTGACTCTTTACTTTTGGGGACCAGATTTTTTATGTGGCCACTTCCCGCCAGCTGAGACGTCTGGACTCTGTCACCAGGTCCCCAATCTACTCTCACTTCAGTGAGACTGTGTCAGGTTTGTCTGTCATCCGGGCCTTTGAGCACCAGCAGCGATTTCTAAAACACAATGAGATAGGGATTGACACCAACCAGAAATGTGTCTTTTCCTGGATTACCTCCAACAGGTGAGGCTGCTCCTGGCATTTAGCCAAATGTGTGCTTTGGGATTCTGCATGTTTGACATTAGCTAAGGGAGGGTAGGCGTGGCCAGTGATGTGAAATTCACTCTGGCCAAACGTGCTCGTCATGTATGTAGAGAGAAAAAGGCATGAGCTTTGGAGTCAGAGACTGGGTCCCTGTGCCTGCTCTGCCATTTACCATGCTGGGTAAAGTGTCTTGACCTCTCTAAGGAAAATCTCATTTTCTTTGTTTTTACAATGGCTAGAACACAACTATTTTACAGGGCTATAGTGGAAGTTAAATGATATCTGTGAGCATTTTGTAACCCAGGTACTAAACAAGTACTGGGTGAACTGGACGTTCTCTGCTTCCCTGAGAGAGGATATGAGATTCTCCATAGGCAGGACATGGTTTGTAGGGTGGTGAAAGAAGTAGAGGTTGGAGGGAAGAGAGTTGGGAATTTTTAGGTAAAACCAGTGATGACAGAAAAGGAAAGCTCACATCCTGTGAGGTGAATCCCTGAGTAGGGTAAACATTCTTCATTTCTCCAGCATCATTAGACCCTGCCAAGAAGTGGTATGCCCTCTAAGGAGGAAGGTCTTTTTCATGAAATGAAAATCTCTTGAGTGGCTTCCACATTGTCTTGAGGTGTTAAGGGCAAGCTAATGATGCTCAGTGTTATTTGGAACATGGAGAGATCAGGAATTTGATTGTAAAGATTTTATTTCTCAGGTAATTTCCAAGAAGGAAATAGGCATATAAGTAAATGCTATTAGACCCCCATTGTAAAATATGTTTCGTATTTATTTGTACACATGCTAAAATTATTGTTGCAAACATTTAAATACATTTCAGTTGGGAAAGTCAATTTTTAAAAAATATGTCTTTCTATAGACCATTCAGTTCTCTACAAAGCTCCAATATATCTCCCTGTGATCAACTCGTACCTAACTTCCCTCTACCTCCAGCTTCTACACCTTTTTAAAATCATGAAATCAGACAGGGTACATTGAACCTTCCTCTGGTGCTTACTTTCTACCCTTACGTATGGATTCTCTATGGCATTGTTTCCCCTGCTTAATCAAAAGAAATCACTTGGAACATTGTTAAAAGTGCAGATTCCTGAACCCCATTCTAGTCCCTCTGAATCAGAATCTCCTGGGAAAGAGTCCAGGAATTTTTTGCATGAATTTGTATATTTTTAACAATTACCCTGGATGATTCCTTTGATTTGTCAAGTTTGGGAGACATTGCACCATAGGATTCTCTTAGTTCAGCAAATTCCTCTAGTACCTTTAAAATGCCATTTATTTTCAAAAAAATCCAATTTAAAAGACTTTAGGAACGCATGGTAATTTGAAGCACCTCCTAAGAGCATAGCCCTACCAACTCAAGACCTCTGAGAGTGTCCTATGAACACCGAGGTTGCTGATTAAGGTAAGCAAGTGGAGATCAGTGATACTTCTCTCTCTGGTTCTGTTGCCCTACAGGTGGCTTGCAGTTCGTCTGGAGCTGATTGGGAACCTGATCGTCTTCTTTTCAGCCTTGCTGATGGTTATTTATAGAGATACCTTAGGCGGGGACACTGTGGGCTTTGTTCTGTCCAATGCACTCAATGTGAGTCTGAAGGTTCGGTGTTTGGTTAAATTAATGTACTTATTCCTAAATTAAGTCTAGAGTATACTATGGAGTCAATGCTCTTGATTCCTTTCTAGATCCAAAGGGATGAGAGGAGACTGAGGTTCAAACTCTGGCTCCATCTCTTACTAATTGTGCAACCATGGACATACTCCTTACCCTTTCTAAGTAGGTACCAGTGTCATCTGGAAAAATGGACATAAATCTTGTTGCCCTTGAGAGTTAAGAAAGCAGTTTCATATGATTGAATCCAATAGTTCCCTGTCTCTTTGCCTCCTTGCTCGATTCTAGTCAAAAGAGAGAATAAATGAGTTTCTTTTCCATAATATAGCAGTAGCCAAAAGGTCTTGTGAACAAATAACTTCACCTATGTTTGTTTTTCTTGGATCACAGAATAATTGGAGCTAATTCTAATAAAGAACATAGAGTCAAAAAACAAAAAAAAGAACATAGAGTCCAATAAAACTATATAATGCATCCCCAGCATGACTAGGGGTTAAATGTTAGACATAATTTCCTAGCAGCTAAGACAGTGGCTGGCACTGTAAATGTTCAATAAATGATACTCATTTAATGAGTCATTTGGCCATCTTTCATGGTATCTTTTCAAACTAATATATTAGAGATTTGCATAGCTATCAGCAAGCTCTTTATGGTGCTGTCTTCAGCAGGAGTTAGTAAGGCCCAAGGCAATCACGGCAAGGCACCCAAAAGGACTCTGTTTTTCGCCAGAGTTACTAGGTTCCTTGTGCCACTGCCCCTTCATCCTCTCGTTTCTAGGCTTATTAACCTAGGACAGATGGGGCAAAGAGTTGGAGAACTATTAGATTGAACCAAAACAAAAACATTCAAATATCGACAATTACATATGGTTCAACCTACACAAAGTGGTTACTCTTAGTCCCCACGATCCTGTGCTTGCCCTCTCTCTAACCGCCATGTGCTCAACAGAAATTCCCTGTGCATATGTGCTAGGTCCAAGTCTTTGCCTGAACGGAGCTTGCATCAGAGTAATTCACAGATTCCCCGGATTCTAGACTGGCCCAGATCATGACAACCCTCTTACTGCTACTTAGATGTACAGTCATGTGCCGCATAATGATGTTTTTATCAACGACGGACCACATATACAATGGTGGCCCCATAAGATTAGTACCATATAGTCTAAGCGTGTAGTAGGCTATACCATCTAGGTTTGTATGAGTACACTCTATGATGTTTGCACAACAACAAAATCACATAATGACATATTTCTCAGAATGTATCCCCATTGTTAAGCGACGCACAACTGTATGTTTATAATGGCAGGAAGGCACCTGGAATTTATTGGGGTAAAGGAGAACAAGGGTTCATGTGGATGTTCCACCTTGAGGGCTGGGTTCTCAATCAAGCTGTTGTTAATTGAGAGCAGAGAGAGGAGGTAGCTTTTTGGAATACCTTTTCCTACCCTGTGTCTTTTTTATTGTTTTTCCCATTTGTAGAATGCCACCCCGTATCCTCTCCACAAAGAACTCTAGGCTTACAGGCAGGAGAGCTGAGTTCTGGCCCCGCTCCACCAACTTCAACCTCTTCAACCATAGCTTTATCCCCAAGCCACTCCAAACTCATATTGCCTTTCACGTTTAGCACCACACAGTTGAGCACTGGCTTGTTCTCCAGCCATTCGATGCCCTGGTCTCATTTCCTCCCCCAGGGAGGTGAGAATTGTCACTTATACTTTTCCTTGCTCACTGGTAGAGCTTGGCATAGTGCTGGGTAAAAAGTGGGCACTGGATTGACCTTGTGGTTTGACTAGTTGAGTTGGTTTCTGAGCCTGAGACGATTTTGAGTCTTCTGTTTTTTCGATAGATCACACAAACCCTAAACTGGCTGGTGAGGATGACGTCAGAAATAGAGACCAACGTTGTGGCTGTTGAGCGAATAAATGAGTACATAAATGTGGAAAATGAGGTAAGGAGGAATTAGAGGAACCCAGGGGCAAGGAAAAAAAAAAAAGATGCGAATCCTTTGAGAGAACATTTTCACTTTGTCTAGAGATTGCACGTGGGGTCATAAAGGGTCTCCTAAAAGTTTCCCTTGCCCTAAGTCAAAGGACCTAATTTCTTGAAACAGAATAGGAAATGGTTTGGGGGAAATCAACTCTTGGAGTGCACCAGGTTAAATGGTGGCTTCATTCTGGAGATCCAGAGAGCAACCTTGTGGGATAGGGTTTCTTTAATTGAATAATGTAAGAACCTTCTGGAAGTACCAATCTATTTCAGTCTATTCAATGCAGATGCCCACAGGTGGCTGGGACACTGCTACCCTTCTGTTCTGCGACGTGAGTCCCATGAGGACTGTTAGTGAGTTGCCACCGTGTAAAGCACTTCTCCTCCTGTCTCCTTGCCAGGCACCCTGGGTGACTGATAAGAGGCCTCCGGCAGGTTGGCCCAGCAAAGGGGAGATCCAGTTTAGCAACTACCAAGTGCGGTACCGGCCTGAGCTGGATCTGGTACTGAAAGGGATCACTTGTGACATTAAGAGCACGGAGAAGGTAGGTGGAGCTGAAGAAAGGCCTGGATGTGAGTCCTTGTGATTGGAGACAGTTGGACACAGAGGCAGAGAGCAGCTGGACTCTGGGCTTTCATCATTAGGGCAGAGTGAGAGGGTAAGGATGCTTCCTTCACCCTGGGGAGGTGTAGGGACACAGTGCTACCACCAGAGGGCAGGATACCAAGAGATCAAACATTTAGTGGGGCTGTAGGGCTTTCTGCTCAGTCCTTCCCTGCCTCCTTGCGGCATCGTCTTCTGTGGCTAACGGGGGCTCATTTCCTGTAAGGGCCAGGGCATGTAGAGAGGAAGTTAGGAAGCACCAGGCCTGGGGAAGGAACTGGTAAGAAGAGCAGTGTGGAGGTTGTCTCTGCAGAGAGAATGGCCTGTTTCTCCTTCTGGTCTGCAAAGTCCTGCACCCTCCTGTGGTGTTCTTGCCCTCCGAGGACATAGGGTCTAATGTAGGACCAAAACAAGTCTAGGTAAGACTGCTGAGATCCAGGTCAGGGTCTGGTTCTCAGCTGATGGCAGACCCGATCCTTCCCTTCTCCTCACTTCTAAACAAGGATTTTAAAAAATCTATAATTTCCAATAATAATTATAACAACAACAGCTGCTGATGTGTCCATTTCCAACGGTCACTGTAGTTCTCAGCAAGTGACAATTTAGGAGGTAGGATGGGAAGGCCATCTTTTTCTGACATCTGAGCACTTTTTTCTTACCAAATTAGTTTAACATCTTAGAGATGATGTAGCCAATCACTGTCTCTTTCCACCTGTGATTATGAATGCCCCAGGCTAAATTTTTTCCCCCAAGAGTTACATGGTGAACTAATGCGCAAAGGAACTATATTTACAGATTGGTGTGGTGGGCAGGACGGGAGCTGGGAAGTCATCCCTGACAAACGGCCTCTTCAGAATCCTAGAGGCCGCAGGTGGCCAGATCATCATTGATGGGGTAGATATTGCTTCCATTGGGCTCCATGACCTCCGAGAGAAACTGACCATCATCCCCCAGGTGAGCTCTAGAACTTACTCTCACTCACAGCAGGGGACAGCTTGTTCTGCAGGAGACATGTGCATCTTCTCCTTGATGTATATTCAATTAGCAGTGTCATTTCTGTGGTCTACCCAGGATACCTAAGCTAGTTTCCTAAGACACATTGTTTGCAGAACTTACAAAAATAAGTTTTGCATCTTTTTGTAATATGCTTATGTGACTGCTGGTATCTAACAGTAGGTGGCAGCAACACAATAGCAGTCAAATAGAGCAGATAATTATTTAGCATTTCTGTAGCCCATTGTGGTTCTCAAGACCTTTGCAATCACCGTCAGCAGTTTTGCCACTGAAGCTTGAAACCATTAAGCTTTATACTTCCTATTTGATATGGTTAAAAGATAGAGGAGGGAATTTGCTGCAGGTTTCTGCCAGCAAGTGGAAAGCTTAGTGCATCAGCAAGAAAGGCTTTCCTTCAGCTTCCTTTCTGGACCCTACCAAATAGGGACTGCCCTGGAGGCTTCGTGGCTCTCCAAGCCATTCCTCCTTTGCTCACTGCAGCCAAGTGTCTGGGGATGGTTTTGGTTTGTCTGGTGTTTGCTCAGTTTGATACACTCTTTTCTCCAGGCTCTTCAAAAGCTTAATAAATTCTTCTCCTGCGACTGTACTATCCCTTCTCCTGGCTGGCACTGATCCCTCCCCTTCCACACCACATTTGGGGGTGTGGGAAATGCCTCTTAGCTTCTTAAGAGATACTGAGGCAAATTTGGAAATCCATAAATGAATCTCAGAATGAAAAACAAAAAAGCCAAAAACTCCTCTTAATCCTGTGCTTAGCTCCCCAGCTGGCAGCCACTCTAAGCCTTCAGGGAGGGAACCTGACACAAGCTTACCACTAACCAGCTTTCCATCTCAGGCCAGTCCTACCTGCTTTCTCCTGGCCACAAAGAATTGCTAGTCCCTTTTCTGTCATTAGCCCCATTAGCCCCCTTGTGCCTTGACTTGCAGGATCCCATCCTGTTCTCTGGGACCCTGAGGATGAATCTAGACCCTTTCAACAACTACTCAGATGAGGAGATTTGGGAGGCCCTGGAGCTGGCTCACCTCAAACCCTTTGTGGCTGGTCTGCAACTTGGGTTGTCCCATGAAGTGGCAGAGGCTGGTGACAACCTTAGGTAATATTTCATAATCCACTTTCCCCACAGGCAGTGAAAGGAGGTGACGGGGAACTACTCCTTTGTTCCTTGTGCTACCGGCATTACCTGGCATCACAGAATTTTCACTCTCCAGGTCTAGTTCCTAATGTGTAAAGTGAACCCATTGTGAAAATGACATGATAAAATAGACGTGAATGTGTATTGAAAACCTTTATTAGTAAAGGTACCCTCATGAGACATGACACAATGTGAGCTTACAGATCCCACCATTGCGGAGGTTCTCAACTTAGCTGCACAGTGCAACCAGGATGAAAACAATCCCGAAGCCTAGTCCAAGCCCAGAGAGTCTGATTTAATTGGTCTCAGGTGTAGACTGGATATGGGAGTTCGAAAGGATCTCCAGGGGGTTGTTACGAGCATCCCAGTTTGAGCAGCACTGGTCTAAGGGGTACGCAGATGATGGGATGTGGTGTCCACAGAGTCCTTGGGCTCCTGAAACACCTTAAATCAGTGCAAAGACTCTCTTGGCTTCACAGTTCTTTTTACCTTTCCAAAGCTTTTCTGTGTATGTTGACACTTCACACTTCTGGCCTTCACTATGTGTTTACCTGTCAGTTAATAAGTTGACCTGCCATTTTCCCTATGACAATTGGGTTTTCCCCTCCAGATGCTGAAGTTCAGCCCTCAGCCAAAGCCCGCTGCCCAGGGGTAGTTCTTGCTCCAGTCCTGGGTGCCTTCAGAGTGGTGGGCAGGGTATGGACCATTAGCAGATGATGCTCAGAAAAGAAGGAAGGCTTAGTAGCTCAACTAATAATAGACCAGTAGCTCTGGCTTGACCTGGGAGCTTGTTATAAATGCAGAATCTCAGGCTCTAGACCTACTAATCAGAATCTGCATTTTAGCATATTCCCAAGTGATTTGTGTGCACATTACAGCTTGAGAAACACTACCTAGAGCACTGATTCTTAACTTGGCTACACCTAGACTCACTCGGGAAACTTTAAAAAAATCCCAATGCCCAGACTGCACCCCAGACCAATTGAATCAGGGACCTGGGTGACTTCAGTGGGTGGCCCCAGGGAACAATTGTGAGCCTTGATATAGAACGCCATCATGTTTGTTTTCCCTCAGCAACAGATCTAGGAACTAGCAAGACTCAAGCAGGTCTTTAGGCCTATGAAAAACACCAAACATTCAGTCAGCAAATATATATTGAGCACTTACTGTATGCTAGGCACTGGAGATATAGAGGGAGATGACATTGACACAACCCAGACCTCCTGGCACTTACAACATAATGGAGAAGACAGACCTTATGCGAGTGCTAATGCTAATGCTAATCGTGCTAATGCTAATGCTAGTCAAGCTAACGCTGTGCAGTAAAATGTTGCAGATGTGTGGGACCCTCTGGCAGGGTGTGATGGGGGCCTTGACACTTCTGTTTTGTAAGAACAAAAATCACGCCATCCTTCTCTGCCCATGCTGGGAGATGCTTAAATGGCATCATTACCGATGCCTTGATTTCAGACCTGGTTTGGGGTGTTGAAACTTAATCTGATTAGTGGTGAGAGATCAGAAATCAATCAGCTTGGAGAGAGAGTCAGCAGCTGAGAGCCAAACTGGTGCCTCAGCCACAGCCTGTTACTCTGGAGCCCAGCTGAACCAGGCAGGAGTTTGGGACAAGTTAAGTGAATAGTTTTGTGGTGTCTCTGTTCTTACATTACAGAGAAAAACTGGAAGTTCATCTTGGGTGACTTCTCATCTCCTGCAGAAATTTTCTTACAGAGAATTACAGAACTTTAGTCTAGCCACCCCCTGTTTAATATGTTCCCTAATGGCCACAGCAGGAAAGATCCATTAGCCATTCCTGAATATTTCCTCCACATCATTTCCCAAAGCTTTTTTATGTAAGTAAGAGGTCCAGCCTTCATTACTAGCTTTTAGCAAATTAAAGCAATTTGCATTTTACAAGCATATTCGAATTCCACATACATTGCATCTCACACCAAGACATCGTGTTCATTAGATAGCTCTGTCTCTAATCAAGGCAGAAGGCCTTGAACAAATAATTAGCCTTGAGTCTAGAATTACACGTTAAAATAACGGATGGATTTGCTAAGGCCGCTATGAAATGCCACTGGGGCATTCTGGTGCGGTGTCACCCTATATTAATGGTGTCAAGTCAAATACTGCTGATATGAACTTGGTGGCATCCATCTTATTTTGGAATTGTTGTTCATGTACTGGGATATCACTGTAGCCAAATGCAAAGCACTATTCCTGGGCTAGTGTTTTCCAAACTTGTTGAACATGAAAATTGCCTGGAGTGCTTATTAAATATACATGTTCCTAGGCTCCTCCCTATTCTGATTGAGTAGAGTGGGGCCCAGAAATATAAAATTTTAAATTAAGTACCTGTGGTAGGTCTTCTAATTAACTGGAAAAGTTTGGAAAACATTGCCTACGGCAACAATGAATAGGTCGTGAATGAAGTTCTGGGGGAATTTAGGAGGGGTTTTTTTTGTTTTGTTTTTCTTTTTGGTGAGGAAGATTGTCCCTGAGCTAACATCTGTGTCAACCTTCCTCTATTTTGTATGTGGGACACCACCATAGCATGGCTTGATGAGCAGTGCATAGGTCCGCACCTGGGATCCGAACCCGCGAACCCTGGGCTGCCGAAGTGGAGTGCATGAACTTAACCACTACACCACTGAATCAGCCCCTAAGAATGGGAGTTTTGAAAGTCTGAGCTGGAACGTGAAAACTGACTCCCTGCCCCCACCATCCCAGGTTATTCCTTGGTCCTTAGGTGCTAATGCTTGGTTTCTTCCATTGGCTGCAGCACAGGGCAGAGGCAGCTACTGTGCCTGGCCAGGGCTCTGCTTCGGAAATCCAAAATTCTGATCATGGATGAGGCCACTGCTGCAGTGGATCTAGAGACAGATCACCTCATCCAGACGACCATCCACAATGAGTTCTCCCACTGCACTGCTCTCACCATTGCCCACAGGCTGCACACCATCATGGACAGCGACAAGTGAGTTGGAGGGGTTTGGGTGGGGTGCAGAGCTTGATGGACATAGCTTAATCCTTTGTCAACAGTGGTAGCATCAGCCATGAGATATCTTACAGCAGAAGGTTTAACCACCATCATTTTACTGATGAAACGAAGGCCTAGAGATTTCAAGTAATTTGTCCAAAATTATACATCAAGCCAATGAAAGCCAACAGGGTTAAGGGAACTGTCTTGAGGGTAAAATAGGAAACAGTGTGTAACTACTAATCAAGTGTGGGGAGGTGGAAGCCCAAGTCATGAGTGGCAGGTATTGACTACAGACCTTCCCAACTCAACTGGGTCTCAGCTGCTCCTCTGTAAACAGAAGCTTTCTGTTCCTTCCAACTCTGATATATTACATTCAAAATGAAGGTAACATCAGTAATCTTAGAAACTGTTTAGAGAGGATAAGCTCCCTTAAATAATGTGTGTCTTTGGTAAAAAAAAAAAAAGCGCTTATGTAAATGGACTCATACTGCATATATTCTCATACTACTTGCTTCTTTTGTTCGACATTATGTCTGGAATCCATCTGTGTTGATGCAGACAGCCATGGTTCGTTCATTCTCACTGCTGTGTAGCCTTGTATGAGTGAATATACCACGACTTAGTCCTAGTTGTTCTTATAAATGCCAAGATTTGAGATACTGCTTTCTAAGACCTTTCTTTCTTCCTTGTTTCAGGGTAATGGTCCTAGACAATGGGAAGATTGTAGAGTATGGCAGCCCTGAAGAACTGCTGAAAAACTCTGGCCCCTTTTATCTTATGGCCAAAGAAGCTGGCATTGAAAATACGAACAGCACAGCATTCTGACAGCAGGTCCCATGGGTTAGAGATGGACTATAAGGATCAATCCTCATTTGATTTTTTTGTGTGTGAAATATATCATACATACAGAAGTGTGTGTAAAATGTACATTTTAAAGAAGGATCATAAGTGAACACCCATGTACCCACTACCCAGGTTAAGGAATGACTATTACCAGCTACATCAGACACCCCCGATGATTCCAGTTTGATCAGACCTCCTTGCTACCACCCCCCAGAGATAACCACTATCCTGAATTTCCTGATCATATCCCCTTGCTTCTCATTTTAGTTTTACCTCCTTGTATGTATCCTTAAACAATGTGTACATTTTTAAACTTATGTAAATGGCCTGATCCACTGGATTCCTCTATGGATTCTTCATGGATTCTTCTATGACTTTTGTTCAATACTGTTTTTGATATTCATCCATGTGGATGCGTGTAGCGAGGTCGGTTCATTCTCACTGCTCTGTAGTATGGCAGGGTGTGAATATGCCACAGTTTATCCATTTTAATGTTGATTAGCAGGAGGATAATTTCTAGGGTTTTTTTTTTTTCCCTATTATGTACAATACTGCTGTTAACATTCTGGTTTATAACTCCTGAGATAGACGTATAAGAGTTTCTTTAGGATATAAATGTAGGAATGGGAGATATGCACATGTTTACATACTTATACTAGGTAATGCCAAACTGATAAAGCCAATTTAAAACATTTTTGTCAATCTGATAAGTATGAATTGGTATCTCATTGAGGTTTTAATTTATAGCTCCCTGGTTACTATTTTGGTTTCAATATGAGGATTCTGCTGCTGCTTATGCATGGTGCTTTATTTCCTTGTAAGCCGTGTAAATTTTTACTGTAAGCTGCTCACTTTCCTTAGCATTTTATCTCTGGACAAGTTGAACCTGAGCTCACCTAAATGGAATTGTGAAAGCTTCTGCCTATCACCTGCAGGCATTACCCAGAACCAATTTCAGTTAAATTCTCTACTAAGGGGTTTCAAGCCTTACAGTTAGTGTGACTTTAGACCACAAGCCTGCACAAGAGCCAACTTGTGGTTTACAAATTCTCAAGGGAGATCCCTCCCCCTTGACCTAGCGTTGGGTTGGAGATAGACGTGTTGCCCTGTTGACTCCTTCCGCATAGTGGGGTTTATTCCTCAGTTACCGGTATACTGCAGGTATAGCCCTTTCGGGCCCAGGTTTATCAGAGGGTCTCCTGTTATGTCTCCAACTTGGCAGGCCTTGGCTTCATCTCTTGCCTCGGCATCCTGTATTGTCAACAAAGGTCAAGGTCTCCAGGTTTCAGAAGTCACCCTAAGCTTTGGCCCTTCCTTATCGTCAGAGTTTTTTGTGTCATATTATTTTGGGTTCAGCATATTCCTTACTTCCATTTCAGTGATGCAGTTATAAAAGATTTTTATTTATGCATCATTTTAGCTGTTTGTTGAGTGGGATGCTCAGAGAATTAAGCTTCCTAAAGGAAAGGTATAAATAGCTGGAAGGCTGGCCGAGGAAGGGATTTGTTTCCTCCTATTTGCTCTGTTCCCATCAGCATCACTCTAGCAGCGTTTCTCTGCGGCAGCGGTTCACACAAGCAGCAGCACTGATTTCAGTTTGCAGTTTCTCCAATACTCACAGAACCAGTGTCAGCCCTCAGAGAACCAGCACCGGCCGAGCAGCACCCCCTTCTCAGAAGTCTGGGTTTCAGCTCTGAGGGGCCCCTCCTAGGTTTTAGTAATGCCGACCTCTGCTCTTTGTTCCCACAGCCCTCACAGCAACAGTTGCTTCTTGCAGTTGCTAGCTCTCTGATACTTGTTTTCCTTTGGCCCTTTCTTCAAGGCCTAGTAGACAATTCTTTGTATTGTTCTCTCTTAAAAGAGAGAGTTAGTCTCTTGAGTAACCCAACTGACAGAGCCCTTGGAGATAATCCAGTTAAAATCTCTTATTTTTCAGATAAGCACCAGCCTGAGAAGGGTTATATGATATCCAGAGTGAAAACATGAGTGTTTCTGGGAGAGCCAGGACCAGAAACTAATTTCCTGATTTGGTCCAATGATTTCTTCTTTTTCCTATAATGAGAGAGAGTTTTTGATCTACCTACTCCTATTGATGCAGATGAAGGGAAGGGAAGGGAAGGATCATTCTTTTCTCAGCAGTGATGACAAAGACATCCAGTGAAGGCAGTGTGAACCAGAACCAGCCTGGATCCAAACCTTTGGTGATAACTCCTCCCACTCCAAATCTTGTGTTGGCCAGTCCCAGTCCCCACTCTGGACCACTGATAACATGATTGCTTTTTCCCACTTTCCTTCCTGAAGGTCTCCTTCTTTTGTCTGTCCTTGAAGCATTAAGATTTTTCTATGTTTTGGTCCTTGACACTCCCCCCCACCCCAGTTTCTCTATATTTTCTCCATAATTGATTGCATGCACTACTGTGGTTTCAACATCTACCCATATGATTCTCATTTCTAGCCCCTTCCTCTCCTTCAGTTCTGAGATTCATATATTCAACTGCCTATGGATATTATCACCTGGATATCCTTCAGGCAGCTGACACGCAACTCACCCTACTTTGACAGAACCTTCTACTCCCTCCACTCAAAATAAAAGATTTTTTCCTGTACTTTCTTTCTCAAGTGGTAACATCATTGTCCACTCAGTCCTACAAAATAGAAACCTGGGCATTACTCTTTTCCTTTTTCTTCCAGGTCAAATCAGCCACCAGGCCCTTCCAGTTTTATTTCTTTACTCTTTCACTTTTGCCATCATTCAGGTTCTCATCACATCTAACCTGGACTGGTGGCATAGGTATCCCTGCTTCCAGTATTGTTTTTCTAAAATATACCCACCCACGGCTCCCAGTGATCAAATTTGCAGAAATGACCAGGTTACTCTTGTGCTTGAACTTTTCATTCAGTGGCCAACCAGAGGAAAGTTAAAATTCCTTAGTATGTATAACAAAGCTCCCTAACATCTGGTCCAACCTCATTTCTTCTAACTCCCATATCTCATGTTAAGCTCCACCAACACTAAAATGCTTTTAGATTCACACACACACTCACCTTTTGCTTATTGATCCCCTCTGCTTGGAATACCCTGGCTACCTCTAACTCATTAGGACTCAACTTAGAGGTCATCTTCTCCTTAGAGCCATCCCTGACTCCCTCTCCTCTCAAACCCCCAAGCTAGCTTCAGTGATGTAGTGGATTTTTAATCATTTGGGAAACTCAGCGTCTGAATCTCAGGTCTATGTTGGGGACTTCCCCAGCTTAAGACTCTTGTTGGAACCCCAGGATGCAGCTATGTGACTAGGTTCCATTCATCGGATACTACACCAGCACCAGATTTTTATTCAGATACTGGTGACATAAAGAAGCAGGGAAATCTATTCTGGCAACGGTGACAGCAGTGGTGACAGTCACAGCTATTGTCCAGAGGTAGCAGTGGTGGTGGTTCTAGCAGCAGGGTCCCCTGATATTATGGTGTGATACTGAGCATCATTCCTGACTTCAAAGTCTCACATCTGGCTTTCCTACCCTCTCAGAGTGTCAGTGAGCTACCTGTGTCATTTGAAACTTTCCTCTCTGCTTAAGTTTACGAGAGTTGGGGACTGTTGTTTACAAATAAAAATACTCCCTAGCACACTTAACTGAGTATTACTGTATTTATCACTTTGTTGGATAATTTTCTGTTTAGGTCTCCCTCACTAAGCTGTGAGCCTCTTGAAAATAGGAACAGTTTCTTACTCATTTTTTGTATGTCCAGTGGCTAGAATATAGCAGGTACTCACATATTTTTCTGAATGTTAAAAAAAAAAATCTATAAAGAAAATACAATGGGAAAATGCATGCCAAGAATGCAGTGACAGGGTTGAAGAAAACAAAGTAACTCCACATTGATACATTGCCACAAACGGGAAGAATAAATGTACCAATCAAATGTCAATTTTTTTGCAGGCTACTTTTGTACAAGTGTGTTTGGAAACACCCTCTGAAGAAATTTGTTCCATTTAGGCAATAGGATGAGAATACATTTAATCACAGATGCACACTGATCATGATTTTATTTAAACATTAGCAAACAATATTGTACAAACGTTGACATTTAGATCTCTAAACTGCTGAAACTTAGATTTACTTAGCAAAGACTATTCAATTATAAGTATGGATTTAGTCTTCCACATAGATTGTTTTTTAAAAAGCTTCATATTGTTTGAAGATACTAAATAAAAGAAAGATTGTAAAAATGCATAAAAGAATTGGCTGTAAGCAGCACTCCATTTTCATAGTATTCCTTTTAACTTCAAGTAATGGGAGTATGCAATTAATTGGTTATGCTGTAGAATTTAATTGTTACAGTGTAAAAAGTAACTACTTAGGGAAGAAGTAGCAAAAAAAGTATACGTAAGGCACTATTTCTTTTAGGTAAAATGGGCATAAAAATAGAGTTTCAGGAAGAAAAGAAAAATTACTTAAGACTAGCTTGGTTCTTCCTGAATTTAAAAAATGGACTAATACAGAGCTCCTTTCTTCAACTCCTAACAAGGTCTTGGTCGCCATATTGGTAATCTCTTGGCTAGTCCCCTTGGTCCTCACCGTGATAACCATCTGGCTATTCTGCCTGATAACTAACTACTGTCACTGATTTCAGATCCACTTGTCCTGTTCCTTGGCTTCCACTGTGAATGACGGGCTCTGTCAGAGCAGCAGTCTTTGGGACATTTACCTGCTGCTTAAGCCTATAGCCACTCGTTCCTCTCTGAGAAACAACTTTGTTGGTATCCATCTATAGATTGTCGAGTTGTCCACTGGTTTACCTCTGGACATAGATGTTTCTCCCCATACCTGGTGCTAACACCCTCGCTGTTGGCTCTTTAGTTAGTTAGCACCCATCTGCACGTCAAGTGTGATCTGGTTTGTCAGGATTTGCATTCTGGCATCACGAAGACACCGCCTAGTCCCATAGCTATCGGCCTGGCTGATATGTTTATTAGTTCCAATCTGTAAACCAATTACATTTTGGCTAGCTTTTCATTTTCCTTTATCAAAAGGTCTGATTTTTCTGCATACTTGACTTCAATGTTAATGGTTGACCAGAATCCTTCTGTTCTGGCCAGACCTAGAGTAGTGGCATGGCTTAAGGGCCAAATCTGGCCTGCTATCTATTTTTGTAAATAAAAGTTTTATTGGAACACAGGCATGCTCACTTGTTTCGGTATTATTTTCGCCTGATTTTGTGTTACAATGGCAGAGCTGAGGAGTTGTGACAGACTGTATGGCCTGCAAAGCCTAAAATATTTATCATCTGGCCTTTTACAGAAAAGATTTGCTGACCCCTGCTCTGGAATCACCAGTGTAGTGGACTGGATCATGTTTCCATTCTCAAAAAGATAATTTGCCTCAAAAATGTCATGTGTTGGGGCCCGCCCAGTGGCGTAGTGGTTAAGTTCCCACGTTCCACTTCAGCAGCCCGGGGTTCGCGGGTTTGGATCCTGGGTGTGGACCTATGTACTGCTCGTCGAGCCATGCTGTGGTGGCATCCCGTATATAAAATAGAGGAAGATGGGCACAGATTTTAGCTCAGGGCTAATCTTCAGCAAAAAGGGGAAGATTGGCAACAGATGTTAGCTCAGGGCCAATCTTCCTCACCAAAAAAAAAAAAAAAAAACAGTCATGTCTTCATACCAGTGGTAGACAGAATAATGGTCCCCAAAGATGTCTATTTCTGAATTCTTAAAACTTGTGAAGATTTACTTTACATGGCAAAAGGGACTTTGCAGATGTGATCAAGGATATTGAGATGGGGAGATGATCCAGGTGGGCCCAAAGTAATCACAAGAATCCTGACAAGAGTCAGGAGGGTCAGGGTTAGAAAGAAGACCGTGTAATGAGGGAAACAAAGACATTTGAAGATGCTATGCTGCTGGTTTTGAAAATAGACGAAGGGGTCACAAGCCAAGGAATGCAGGCAGCTTCTAGAAGCTGGCAAAGGCAAGGCAACAGTTTCCATAGGGAACCAGCACTACTGACACCTTAACTTTAGCCCAGTGAGACTGGTTTTGAACTTCTGATCTCCAGAACTGTAAGATAATAAACTTGTGTTGTTTCAGGCCACAGATTTGTGGTAATTTGTTACAGCAGCAATAGGAAACTAATACAATACAGTAAGCCCAACTCACTCTGACCAAATTGCCAGTATTCTCCAACTGAAGTCACTTTAATGATTATTCATTGATCTTCAATGAATCTCACTGTAGTTTGAATGCATAGAGGATTATGTCATCTTTTAAGCCCAGCTAAAAGTGGGCTTCGACTTTCACGCCTGTCACCTCTTCTATCAAATTGCAAAGATTTTATTCAGCTTGATCATATTTGGAGGAAATCTTTTCTTGATCTCAGCTGAGAGGCTGTAGGAAGGTCCCTGGTTAAAGTGAGTCATGGTGATTCAGACCATAGGAGGCGGCCACGACAGATGGGGAGTCTCACACTCTCAGCTTCCCCAATCCTGGACCTGAGGAGCGGCTGCCGTGGGATATGCTTAGAGCTGGACTCCTCTTGTGTCCCAGGGGACGCCTAGGCATGGCAGTGCACAGGTAGTGCCTGTGACATGGTCCTGCTGTCTGCAGACCCCCTGGTCTGCTGCGGGGTCCCATGTGCCTGCCTGCTCCCAGTAAATGTTTCCTGAATCAACAAACACATTGCTGCTACACTAACCCGAGGGCTCCCTCCCTCCCACCACCACACCACCAGAACCTACCTCCAGCAAAGCACTGTCTGCTCCCTTCCCCTTGAATGTCACCTCTGAGTGGTGTTAAGGAATGGATAACCCTATGTAGCTTGCAAAGTATGCACTTTGTTGTGGAAAATTCCCTTCTTGATACATGCAAAACACTAATATTGATCTTCACTAACAATTGCAAGAAACTTCCAGTGGGCTGGGTGAAATAAAGCAGGGGCTCAGACTGGAGATTATTACCCCTGCTCTGTGGCACTGTATGCCACACCTAGCAAAGGCAAAACAGTAAAAACTTTGTCAATATGTTGTACTAATAGATGGGAGAGTTTAAAATCCTGAGTTGTGTTTGGTGACTAGACAGAGGATTTGAATGATGTATATAAATCTCGAGGTTTCTTGGTCCTCAAGCCTAAGGTTCTGCAAGTGAAACACAATTCAGAGCACAAGTGTGTTCTTCTAGGGCCTGTTGGTAATGCTCACCCTGAAACAAAACCCACCTCAACAGTCTCAACCTCACAATTAATTAAAACTGGGTGATACAAAATTTAATCTTTATTAAAACCACATACTTCTAGAGCTCAGTGTACAAAAATTCGCAGCCATCATCTTATGCTCACAAGAATCCTAAATATTAAACCAGAAATCTACACTTCATAGATGATGACAGATTCCTACCACCGCTCCCTGTTCTCCTAGGACTCTTGGATGAAAGCACAACTGAAGAGCTACTTCCAGACAGGAAAGGGAGAAAATTTATGAGAGGATGTAACCAGGCAAACCGGATTTAGAAAATTTCTGCAATACTTCCTTCTGTTGTGTCTGAAACATCTGACACCCTTTCCTTCCTTGGTTTTTGTAACTCCTACTGTTCCGACAGTAGAAAGTTCCATTAAAAAAACTGCCTAGACAGATGCTCCTCAAACTTTCAAGTGCACACAAATCAGCCGGGGACCTTGAGTCAGTCGGCCTGGGGTGGGGCCTGAAGCTCCAGTAAGCTCCCAGGTTATTAGGATGGTGACGCTGCTCATCTGAAGGCCACGCTTGAAGGAGCAAGACCTAGCAGACATTTAGTGTTTAAAACGAAACTCATCTTTTCATAAACTTGCTCCCATCCCCATCAACTCCCTTTTGCCAGTGATTCCACCATTTCTTCAATTCATATTATTTATAGGATGTTGCTGCTTCTTTCCATTCTCAAGCAATCTTATGCCCAAATCAGTTAACTTTTCCCCCATAATTAAATTTTCTTGCCTTTGATCTGTCCTCCCTCCAAATCATCCTGTTACCATTTAGCCTTCCTAAAACAGGCAGTCCACTTAAGGACCTACAGGAGTTTCTCATTACCCGACTCAACAAATCCAAATTCCTTGACTTGGACCTCAAGGCCCTCCAATTTGTTTACTGTCAGGCAGTGTTCTAGTGCTCTCCACGTATCACCTCATTCAATCCTTACAGCAACCCCAGGAGGTAGCGAGTACTACCATCTCTACTCTAGATGCGGAAGCTGAAGCTGAACCCACGTTAGTTAAGTCGCCAAGGTCACAAAGCTCTTAAGTGTCTGAGACCAGACAGTCTGGATCCAGAACAAGGTGGAAAGACTCAGCAAGAGAGCCTGAGGCACAACTTTAAATTCAGGATCCATCAAAAACTTGATGTATGACTTGGGCAAATCACAATGTCACTGGACCCCATTTTCCTAGTCCATAAAATGAAAGAGTTGGCACTTAGCTGACCTGTTTCTTTCCCAGAGTCTGTCTATTCATTCACGGTTTCTATTTCCTAATATCAGCCACTTGCTTCGCTGTCACCCACACATTGTCCTCAGTGCCACCTCGCCCAGTGCTCCTGCTGTTTCTCCCTCCCTTAACCCCTGACCTTCCCCAAGCTGCTACTGTGTCACCTTTTTAGTTAATCACTAGCGCATCAGTTTCTGCATCTGTAATAGCAGGAAAATATTTACCTCAGAGATTCCAGCTTAGAGATTTCAGCTCTTGTGTTCTGCTAGGATTTTGAAGTATGAAATGGCTTAAAATAAAGAGGCCTGCAGCATGGACATCTTTGGAGTATACAGTAATCCTGTTGAACTTATATTTGACAAAATGAATTTTTGACCTGAATTTCTTGTTAGCTTCTTCCATCTCCTGGAATCTGGGCATCATGGAATTGTCAAGAAGGTACCCCTAGAAGCTTCAGGCTAAATGTGGAGGGAAATTAAGAAAACATACTCATAGCCCTTAGAAATGCTTTTATTTATAAAATAACTACTTAAATATAAACATCTCTAGATATAAACACTATTCACAAGAGACTTGCATTGCTGCCTTCTGACTGACCCACAGACACGTGGGGGCCAAGGAGTCTACCTACAGGCGTCTCTTGATTCATCAGGATCTTAAGGCTGAAGGTGCAGGTGGAGGAGCAGGGGCTGCAAGGCTGTTCTTAATTCCCTTTCTTACGGCAAAATTCGTAGTTTCCTACTCCAAGGTAGGCTTCATACCTGGGACAGACCTTAAGAATGAAAGCCCTGCTCAGACAGAACCTGCACTGGGAGATTCTTAGTGTAAGGATGAGCAAATATCTTCCTGAGGCCGGAGGGAGGTACGGTCAGGCACATTAGAATCCGTTTGGCTTAGACTATGGTCTCAGAAGCACGGAGGTTGGTGGTGAAACAGAAAATGCTTATTTCCAAGTCTAGGATAAGCTACTTCTGGGACTGCTCATCCTAATTCAAATAAGACTGATGCGTTATTGTTTTCTGCATCTGTGGATAGCCGCGTGCTTGGATGAAGGGGAAAGGCATCCAGTTGTCCACCAGGCTGGACTGGTTTCAGCTCATTGCTGAACGAATCCTTTTAATGCTGGAATGGCTGGAGCTCTGATCCTGTTCTCCCAGGAAAATCTAGTGGTCACTGATTTGCAGGAGAGATTAGCACAACCAGACTGTATAAAGCAGAGATGACTGTCAGAATGGTATAGAAGACTGCATCCAAAAGGGAAGAGAACCTTTCAGATGAAGGTCGAAGGAAAATAAAGACCCTAAATGCTTTTTAACAGGAGAAAGAAAGCAGCTGAATTTTGCATACCCAATCTGGAAATGCAATGAAATAAGAAAAAGATTACAGATGGTAGTGTTTTAGGGACTTTTAGAAACTAGAGGTGGGTGTGTGTGTATGAGCGTGTGCCGGACACTGAAGCTTCAATTTGAAACACCAGATTTGGTACAGTCTCAACAAACTCCTTGCCACATGCAGAGGCACAACCTAAAGGGGCTCCCAGAGGATTCTCTTCATCCAAGTCAGTTTCTGGTCAGCTGACTGTGAAGCATGGGGCACCTCAAACTTACTGTGGTACAACCAGTGCCAACATCTTCTAATGCTATAGCACAGCTTCTAGGATATATAGGATACTGGTCTTCTGACTGGAAATTTCTCATTTCCAAAGGCTGACCCCAGAACTTGCCTCTCTTCTCACGGTCACTGAATCATTTGCAAGCCAAAGGGTCCATTTCTAATTCTAGAAATTCTAGTGAGCATCAAAGTTGACAACCCAATAGAGGAGAACAAGACTTATCCTGTGCCCCACTGTGGCATGGTTAAGCAATGCAGACAGGGCCCATGTCTCCAGAGCAGGTGCCCTCTCAGTGGACCACCAGAACCCTTCAGCAGAAGGAAGTGAAGGCAGCAAGGCTGAGTGGAGGCAGAACAGGTTCAGGTGTACTCAGCTTTGCGGATATAAGTGGATGGAACATAGCCCTTCTTCCCATTAACTTCGGCTAACCACCACTCTCTATTTCCCATAACATCTTTAAATTCTAGGATCTTGAGCCTCTGATTGGCTGACACACTCAGTTCATTTGGGTTCCGTGCCTTGAAGGTATAGACAGCAAAATAGACCTGTGTGAGAGAGACAATGAATCAGCAAATGGGAAACTGCTTGGAGGAACACTGTCCAACAGAACTTCCTGAGGTGATGGGGATGGTCTCTATCTGCATCATCCAGTATGGCAGCCCCCAGCCACGTGTGGCTACCGAGCACTTGAATTGTGGCTAGTGAGACAGAGGAACTTAATTTTTAATTTTAACTAATTTAAATTGCCACATATGGCTGGTGCTACCATAATGGATAGGGCAGATTCAAAGAAAACCAAAATTCACATCTTTTTACTCTTTCAGAGTTGCCTTAAGGAGTGGAAGAAAGAACCTTCAGGCAACATGGAAGATAGATGAGATATAAGGATACTCTTCCATATCCCAAACGCAGAAATTGTGCATTTCAAAAACTTAAAAAAAAAACACACAGGGCCGGCCCCGTGGCTTAGCGGTTAAGTGTGCGTGCTCCGCTGCTGGCGGCCCAGGTTCAGATCCTGGGCGCACACCGACGCATCGCTTCTCCGGCCATGCTGAGGCCGCGTCCCACATACAGCAACGAGAAGTATGTGCAGCTATGACAGACATCTATCTACTGGGGCTTTGGGGGAAAAAAAGGAGGAGGATTGGCAATAGATGTTGGCTCAGAGCTGGTCTTCCTCAGCAAAAAGAGGAGGATTAGCACGGATGATAGCTCAGGGCTGATCTTCCTCACAGAACAACAAAAAAAAAATTAAAAAAAAATACACAGCTAACCTCAAGGCAAGAAAGGATGACCTCTAGGTGCTGATAACTAAGATATAATGCAAAGCGAGGGCGGTGCTCAGTGATCAGGAGGAGAAGCCGTGAGGCCCACGGAGCACGAGGATGAACACACCCCCGAGGGCTGGGGTGTTAGGACCTGGTCAGGGACAGGAGCTGATGAGGCGAGAACTGAGCTCCCTGTACAAAGTCAGAATCTGAGAAACGGCCATTTTCTCCCTAAGCATGTCTACAAAAATTGTCCACTGGTGGGTCCAGAATGTCTGGACTGGGGATGTCTGTCCTGGGCAGTGGTTAGTGACAGAATCACCAGAGAGAAACGGGTATGCACTATTCCCTGAGGAATGTGGTATGGAAAGTCTGGGCTGAGACACTAGTGTGAAAACTGGTCTTTTGGAATCCAGAGCTTGGCAGAGGCAAACACCTCCACAACCCAGGACATGACTGAATCTCCAACCAAGGCCACTCCCGCTGGAGATGAGCTCACAGATAAAGGTTATAAAACACACGGACACTCAACGGCTGCAGGTTGGCCAAGGCAACAAGCGGTGAGCCTGGCATTCCTCAGCTGTGCATCTGAAAGTGGCTTTAAAATACATAGGTTTAGGGCCAGCCCTGTGGCTTAGCGGTCAAATGCACGCGCTCCGCTATTGGCGGCCCAGGTTCGGATCCCGGGCGCGCACCGACGCACCACTTCTCAGGCCATGCTGAGGCGGCGTCCCACATACAGCAACTAGAAGGATGTGCAACTATGACACACAACTATCTACTGGGGCTTTGGGGGGCAAAAAAAAAAAAAAGGAGGAGGATTAGCAGTAGATGTTAGCTCAGAGCCGGTCTTCCTCAGCAAAAAGAGGAGGATTAGCATGGATGTTAGCTCAGGGCTGATCTTCCTCACACACACACACAAAAAAATACATAAGTTTAAAATGTTTAAGATACAAAGGCTATATTCAGATTCCCAAGACAAGAATAGGCCATTATGAAAAGAATAGGAAAAAAGGAAACAGAGCCAGAATTTTACTTCTAAAGTCTAAAAATAAAAATATAGATTTTGAATAAAAAACTAAATAATGGGTTAAACAGCAGACTTTACACAACTGAGGAATTCACGAATTGGAAGAGTGGAAAAAGTTTTCATTATAACACCTTGTAAACGCCCAATGACACAGCAGAAGGGGCCCAATGAAGAGTCAGCCATAGAAGGTGCCCAGAGGTGTTGAGTTGCTCACTCAGTGCGTTTCCATGTGTGCTTCATAAAATTTGTCTGTGAGCGCCTCTCCAGATTCCCCCACGAGGCCTCTGACTCGCCCACTCCTGGAGGAGCATTATCTGTACCCACGAGACACCTGCCACCTGTTCCTGGTCACCAGGGAGCACTTACCTGGTTGCCTTCTGCCTCACTGCTTTCTGGCTCTTCGTTTTTGTTCTCCAGAGCCTGGGCTGTTCTTGGACATCCTTTCACAAGGTCTTTACCCTGCCCATTTCGCCCTGGTGTGGAGTAACCAACCATTTCTGGATGCCTGGAGTTTCGGTAGCTCCTCGGGGTGGGGGCAGGCTGGTTAACGTCTCGGGCCCCATCTACAGAGTCCCAGGGCCTGGGCTGGGAGGTAAAGTCTGGGTCTGAAGGGCATCTGGAAGGACCGCTCTCTGAACTACCCAAGTTTAAGGAGGCACTGAGCGCTCCTTGGTCAAATTCCTTCAATGAAGATGCATCTTGAGGCTGTTTCTGGCAAGACCCCGAGGTAAAGGACACAGCCATGCTGCTGGGGTTGAAGGTCAAGGTGCTGCTGCTGTTTTGCCGTGGGAATCTGGGGGAGGAGCCGCCGTGCTCGGACTCGGTGGAGGAGTAGCTGCCCACGGAGACGTCAGAGTGGCTGCGCCGGGCATTGTAGGGCTTCAGGAAGGAGCTGTACACGAAGCCTTTGGTGACTGCGGGGGGGAAACACAGGCAGGAAGAGGAAGGGAAGGAGGAGGGAGGGAGGGAAGAGGGAATCCACAGAGAAGAAACTATGGTTTAAAAGCTAGGTCAATAGTGAGAGCAACACTAAGTAAAATGCCTAGTGACAAAACAGATTAAACATTCCATCTCCGAATACAATGTGGGGGGGTAGAGATGAAACACTGTAGTTACCTGCCAGTTCATTCTTGTCACAATCTCATAGCACATGAGTGATAAGGAGGCCTTAGTGGCGAATCCAGAGGACAGAAATAAAAATGACCACGTGTTGGAGAATGAGCATATGAAGAAAATTTAACAGGAAATCTAGATCATGGAAACAAAGGCTATGGGAAGACTTAACTAAGGATATGTTCAAATACACCACGTGTGGCAAAGAGAGATTTTAAAAACCATCCTCATCATGGCAGAGCCCCTCAGATATGCGTTCCTGTCCTCTTTCCCGTTCATAACACTTGCCTCTCTGCCTCTGGTTTAGGAATGTGGTGGAAATACCATGAGAATAGTCTCAAGTAGGAAGCTGCTTGTATTAGTTACAATACATACAATAACACATGTACATCACATGTTCACTTTAATGAACAGTCTAAACTGATGACTGAGAGGGCCCTCGGCTAAAACTTCGAAACATAAATAGGGATTGAGATCCCTAATCCACAGCAAAATTTTTTATAATATTAAGAAAGACGGGCCGGCCAGGTGGCACAAGTGGTTAAGTGCACGCACTCCGCTGTGGCGGCCCGGGGTTCGCCGCTTCAGATCCCAGGCGTGCACCAATGCACTGCTTGGCAAGCCATCCTGTGGTGGCGTCCTATATAAAGTGGAGGAAGATGGGCACGGATGTTAGCCCAGGGCCAGTATTCCTCAGCAAAAAAGAGGAGGATTGGAAGATGTTAGCACAGGGCTGATCTTCCTCACAAAAAAAATAAATAAATAAAGGAAGACATATCTGGGAGGGACCCAGAGAATGTCACCTCCTTGCGAGCAAGGGCCATCTCTGTCTTGACCTTCAACGTGCTTCCTGTACCTAAGAAAATGCTGGCCCACACTTGTTATATCTGCTAAATGATGGGAGGGATCCTCTGGGCAGGTGGCGAGGGGTAGAGGGTCTAACAGCTCATCCTAATACTGTGGGCTTCTTGTTACCACCTGACTCATCAGGATCGGTGGATAAAAACCCCAAGGATGAAAGAGCTATTGAAAAGCTTGGATCTCTACTAGGAGTTCATCTAGGAACCCATCACCCTGGGAGGCTCTACCCTTCGCCCTTCTTTTCCCACTTCCAATCTTTATTATATGGGTAAGCAGAAGTGGGGAGTGGAGAGAAACATCCAGAAAATACTTTTAAAGAAACTGAGAAATGTTAAAATTTTCAGTTCTGGGCAGTGTGAACATAGATGTTTATTACATAGACCCACCATCCTTATCTAAAACGCAGAGGGCCAAATGTGTTTTGGAATTCAGATTTTTTGTATTTTGGAAAGGTAATCAAGTACACATACCATATATTTCACAACACCCCAGCAGGGTCTGGGTCAACACCCCAGAGTCAAACCCATTAATGTGTGTGTAGCAAAATATATGACCATTCACACCCAAACTGGGAGGTGACGATTATAAATAGTCTTACATCACTTTGTTCAGGTTTTGCCACCAAATGAATTCCGATCAGGGCAAGTTTGGCAAATGAGTTTTGAAACAAAATCTGTGTTTTTCAGAGCTTTTCGAATGTTGGAATCCTTTTGGAAAAAGGATTATGGATCAGTATTATTCTTTCTACTTTTATTTAAATTCTGTACCCCTTCCTCTACCACCAGCAAAAAAACCCCAACTGTGACCGTTTTTAAAGTCATTCCCTAAATAGTCATAAGGTAAAACTGTTTGTTATGGGGGGGTGGGGGCACAACTCAAAAAACAAACAATAAAACCCCTCCTTACAGGACTCTCACAAAACACATTTAAAGAACCTGGAAGAGGGCAGCTTATTTTGTGGTTTACACAGAATAGGTGAAGAGGGCACAGGACTCATGAGGCAGTGTTTACTGAGTGTACAGCTGTAAAATATGGCAAGATCTTCAAAGTAAGCAATGGAATCTCCTCTGGAATTTGTAAAAACAAAAACAAAACCAAACACAGGTTTTGTATCAGTAATTACACTCTCTAGGGAGGGACAGAACTTTTAAGGTTATTTTTCCCTTTAATCAGAGACTCTCATATTTTTTTCTGGCCTAGACAGCATCCAGGTACTTGTTCCTCATTTAAGTTACAGTAATCTGCTGTCTAACGTTCTTACCTCCATTGTCAATGAGCCAGCGGTTCTGACTGCCCATGGGGTCTTTCTTTTTGATCACGCCCACCAGGTCGCCTTCCAGAAGTGAGACGTCCAAGTCTTGAGCAGCATTGAAGTTCCGTTCTGCCTGGAAGAGTTTTTCAGGGGGATACCTTGCCAGCAGGGAGGCGCGGAGTTCTTCTGACTGTAGCATATAGCTTGGCTGAAAGGCAACACAAGGGATACAGTCAACAAGAACCCTCCTTCGCCATTATCCCAGCAGCCATATTTAATCATGACACACAGTCAGAGCCTCAGAAATGGGGGCAACGACAGCCAGCCGCTGGCTACTCCCATCAGGTGTCTTTGTGTCTGAGTCAGTTCTTGTGGCTGGGTGAAAATCACGATCTCTTAGGTCATGTTTTGGTGCCTTTGTAACTATTAAGAAAATTTAACACGCACCTAGTTTTACATGTGTTATCCCATGACAAAAACATGTAATTCAAGTGCCACCTAAAGAATCAAAATATGTAAGTAATATTACTAGGTCTTCTTATATTGTGCTATATGAATCTAAACAATTGAGACTTTCCTTATCTTGACTTTCCCATCTATAAAAACAAATAATATTGATAAAAATAAGAAAAAGTAAAATAATAAATTTTATTCTCCCTTTTATGGTAATATAAATTAATGTCTATGGGATTATATGAGGAAAAATATTGTAAGCAAAGACAAGTCAGCAGCCTTTTAGATTATGACCCCATACAATCTGGTGTATCTTACCCTATTTTTCAAAATATGAGGAGCTGAGTTAAAAAAATATATAACTCCAAGTAAAAAAGCAGTCATTTATGAACTGTTTGGCAGTATATCAGATAGTTTGGCAGTATATCAGATAATTACCTTTTCTAATGCATGATCGAAAATAGGGAGGCCTGGCAGAATTAATATACCTTTAAATCAGTTCCCTTAATTAATTGATCAAAGTACTAATATTAAGCCTTTACTAACTCCTTTCAAAGATCCAAGAACACTTTTCAGAGGGCATTTGGAAGTACATATCAAGTGTGAGAAAACCAGAGGTGGTCACTATCAAGTACCAGTAGGCACACTGGTGATGCTTGGTGAATGAATGAATGAGCCTACGATACAGGAGAACTCAACAACCTTCATTCTCCATTTATTATAAAATATTTAAACTCTTATTAAATTGCTAATCTGTAGAGACAGACCTATGTCCATCAATATTAATAACAATGATGACGATAATGTTGATAGCTTACTTGAACAGTGCTTACTATGAGCCAGGCAATTTCTAAGTGCATTACGTATATTAACTCCTTTAAACCTCAAAATAACTCTATGATGTGGATATAACTATTACACGTTTTAGAGATGGGGAACCAAGGCACAGAGGTGAGTGGCTTGCTGAAGGCCACACAGTGAGAAGTGTTGAACCGGGATCTGAACCCAGGCCATCTAGCTCCAGAGTTTACAGTCTTAACCCCTAGGCTGTACGACCTGCTCTCGTTCTCTACTCACCAGGCCCAGAAGTGGCTTTCGGGCAGACTGGCGGTCCACGGTTTTCCTCTCAAACGGCCTTTTGGTGGCTGGAAGGGACTCGGGGAAGAAGGTGAAAACCTGGAGTTGCTGCAGGACCCTGCTGTGCTCTTCATGGAAGATGGCGATAAGGTTTCCCTCCTTGCCGGCAACTTTAAGTAACTGGAATCCACGGGAAGAGCAGAGATAGGGGAAAGAAGAGAACTCGGATGAAAGATCCCAGGGCCGACAAAGTCTCGTTAAAACCAACTGGAAGCTGAAGTTCAGCTGCAGCTCACTCTGTGAGCTACCAACACTGCAGCGTGACGCCAGGGACAACACTCCCTGCGGCACGGCCAACAGGCCGAGGGGCTAGCCCTTCGGGGACTTGCTCAGGAGGGGGAGAGAGCCTAAGCTTAAAAGCTACAGGTTTCATCGCACCTCAAGGGATCAGGAATTCCAATTCCTGATGGGCTTGAACTAATGACATATTTAATCTCTCTAGTTTGAATAATTTCTCAACACCCCTACTGTGTGCTCCCAGAAAAATACCAGGAGAACGTGCGAGATGACTTCTCCACAGGGGACTAAGGGACTCACTGAAAGCAGCGGCTTTAACTGCTCCAGGGCCTGGCGCACGAAGTCACAGTGGGCCTCGGCATAGCCGTGGATGCAGTTGGTGAAGAGGCCCTGGGCCAACTGGTGGAACTTGGGCAGCTCATCCAGCAGCTGGGCGTTCAGGGCCTCGTAGTTGTTCCGGGCTGACTGCAGCTCCTCCAGGGTCTTCTTGTCCTTTAACTTCTCTGCCCGTTCTGTACAGTTATAGAAGTCCAGCAGCTTGTCAAAGCGCTTCTGTACCAGCTTGTGGGGCCCTGTAAACATGCTCAGTAACTGATTGAGGGGAGAGATGACAAGCCGCTCTGTCCTCTCCTTCTGTAGGGACGAGAAAGGCACGTTGCTCAGTTGGTCGGTTTCCCATATTTGTTTTTCTCAAAATACTCTCCCCACCAGGCTGATTGTGTTGTGTCCTGTACCCTCCGCTTTGCTCCTAGTGCACAAGCTAAACCCACGCAGAGCCAACAGCATGGTCCTTCTCCAACACCAGATGTCTGGACATATTCCCCAAAACCTAACTCCGAACTTTTCACCCAACAATTTGCACACACTAAAGAGTCTGCAAAATATGCTAATCCCACCTTAGCTCCATAGTTGAAAACAAGTGCTAAATTACACACATTAATATGTTTGCGTTATAACCCAGATGTGACAGTCTGTCTGGTATCACTTCTTATGTGTCTACATGTCTACATATAGCTTGAATTCAACTTAAGATATAGTTGTTACATAAATCTAGGGTAGCGAAACTTTCACACATCCATCATACCTCTCCTAATCATAACTACTTACTAATATCTGTTTTCACTTTTCAAAGGATTTTTCTCTTTAATTCCTTCTAGAGGGATAGACATTGAGGGTAAGGTATTGACACATAAAGAATATACATAGGTACTTGGTAAATTATTTTAATAAGATGCTACTATTAGAACACCTACAAGTTCCCCAAGGGTGCATGTTTTCTTCAGCCTCAAGCCATCCAGAGATCTCCAAAAACTATCAAACCCCACCTAGTTCTCCTTGGGAGCAAGCAATCCCATACATGTCTAATTAGAATTTCCCAAACAACTGGGCCCTTAGTGCTTTCTTTATAAGGTAGTTTGTACCATCTCAAAGATCTATTTATTAATCTCTTAGCTATTCCTAAATATTTCTTTGAAAGTTATCACTCCTATAGTTGTATTTTTTTGATCAGAGTGATCCCAGATTTAATTTCCCAGTTTTCCTCTGTCCTCTGAAACAAGGCTGATCACAAGCCATAAAAAATCCGTTTGAATACACACAGGCCCTTCCTGTTCTTTTGCCTAACTGAAGTCATGTTCTGAATATAAGACCCCGATACGAACCTAGTTAGAGGATGACTAGGACTCTGATGCACGGAGCACGTCTCTGTGGAATTCGCTTTTCCATGAGCTAGATGTTAGAGAGAAGGCTGGGAAGAGGGCCAACTCATGAAGAGTGGGTTGAAAAAAGGGTGACTTACGAAATTTGTGAAGAGCTGATCGCTGATGTAGCGATGCACCTTCTCGAACTGTTCCAGGTCTCGGTGTCCCTTCTCCATGCACACGTCCCACATGCTCATGGCAGCCACCACTTTCACACATGCCGATTCCTGGAGCCAGTTAGAAACAAACACAGTAAGATGAAAGAGAACTGCCTAGCCTTCATCATTCAGCCGAGGAAGCAGCCTGGAACAAAAGGTTCCATAATTAAAATTTTTCTCTCTAGTGTAATACTTTAGCTTTGAAACAAGCATGCTCTCATCAACTATGATTTATGGGCACAGAGAAAAGTCTAAGACTTTTAATTATAGGAAAACTGGTGAGGGTTTTTTATCACCCCTTTAGCATTTTCCTATGGGCCTTAATTCATCCAAAAGTACATGATCAAATTAGAGCCAAGACGATTCCTGCAGGATTATGGTAATGAACAACCACCTCTCCTTCTTCAAGTCTTGGCTCCTGCTGTCACCTTCTCTAAGACAACAGCCCACTGCCCTGTGAGTAATTACAACCCTGCAGCCTGACTCAGGCACTTCTGATGGCTCTGCTCTGCTTTTTCCTTTGTCATTGCAAAAAATACCTTCTGACAGACAATCTAATTTACTCACATTTACTGTCTCTGTCTCCCACTCCCACAATAAAATGTAAGCTCCATGAAGGCAGGGATTTTTGTCTGTTTTGTTCGCTGACTCACTTACCATTTTCTGAATAAAAAGTGAATGCGAAGTAAACTCCTCCTGACCGATTCTGACAGTTTTTAAATCCCAGGCTGGTTTTCTTTGGCTACATGGAACAATGCTGGGTTTTTGCCTTCTTTGGTTTAAGTTTAGGGAATGCCTATTATTTTGATATTAACCCAAATAAAATCTAAATGTACTAAAAACCCCATTCATATTATTTCAAGGGTAAACAAAATCTCTAAGCCAAAAGCACCAATCAGTGCCTCATACATCGGTTTGCAATTTTATTTTACGACATTTTTAGACCTGTCGTCTTTAAGCCCCATATCTGTACATAGAGATGATGCCAGTTGGAAGGATAAATTGGGGACTCTTTCTAACTCCTCCCAAGTGGGAGAACTAATGTGAAACATAATGTCCTATTATATCTTTTAAAGAAATGTTGTCAAGTCCCAAAATATCAGTCCACATGCCAAGGTAGATACCAAATTGCACAGTCAACGTCCCTCAGCTTATGTTCTTGCTGGCTCTCTATCAGTTGATCTACCTAATTTTATTATCTGGCAGGGCTTTTCTTTTTATGTCAGTGACAAAAACTGTTCAACGTTTTCTGTCTTAATTTCCACTGTTAGCACGAGAATGAAACTGATCTGCCTGTCAAAAGGCTGTCAATGTTACATATGTCCCACCTCAAAATGGTACCACCCACTGCTATGGAGACAAGCCTTTTAAGAGTTGGGGGCTCAGGTGTATACTTGCTACACATTTAGAAAACATGGGGAGAAAATAGCCAATAGCGAGGTATCAAAATTAGAGGAATTGTAGGGAAAGTCCTAAGAAAAGGGAACATCCTTGGTAGTTGTCTCAATATTGTTTTTGTTAAATCTCTCACTTTAAGCCAATGTGCTCCTGAAAAGTTTGATAAACCCTAATTTTTACCTAATTACATTTTTAAAACATGAAGGGAGAGAGTCTGCTATTTAAAAGAAATGTAGGGGGCATTTCAAATCAGTGGGGATTATTCAATAAATGATGATGACAATTGGACAACCAGCAGAAAAACAAAATAAAGTTGGATCCCTACCTGAAACGTTATCCACTAAATTCCAGCTAGGCCAAGAACTTTTTTTGTTTTTTTTTTTTATAATTTTATTTATTTATTTTTCCCCCAAAGCCCCAGTAGACAGTTGTATGTCACAGCTGCACATCCTTCTAGCTGCTGTATGTGGGATGCAGCCTCAGCATGGCTGAAGAAGCAGTGCGTCGGTGCGCGCCCGGGATCCGAACCCGGGCCGCCAGTGGTGGAGCGCGCGCACTTAACCGCTAAGCCACGGGGCCGGCCTTAGGCCAAGAACTTTAACATAAAAAAAAAAAAAAAAAAAGAAATGATAGAAGGACTGAAACATGGGAGATATTTATTATCTTGGAATAGAAAAGACCTTTAAAGTATGACACAGAACTAAGAAGCCATAAAAGAAAAGTTTAATTAGACAAAAACAAAACTTTTCTACATGGAGAAAATATTTTAAGCAAACTCAAAGTCAACAAATTAGGGCAGGCAGGGGGGGATATTTGTAAACCATCATCTGAGACAAAGGGTTATTTTATCTAATATTTCCAGAGGTATTACAAAGAAATAAGAAAAAAACCAATAAATCAATAAATAAGTGCCCCAAACATAGACAAACCACAGAAAAAGAAATGCAATGATTTAAACATATGAAAATATCCTCAACTTCATTCATAATATAAGAAATGCAAATTTAAACTATACTGAAAGAGCATTTTTTACCTATCTTGCAGACAAATATAAGACATCTTGATTTTGATAATTTGTTATCTTTGATAACACTGTGTGCTAGCAAGGGATGGGGAAACCGTTTCATATATTGCTGGTGAGAGTTTTCACTGGTACGAAATCTATGCAATATAACAACATCTATCAAAATTTACACTTTCATATGATTTGGCTCAGAAAATCTAGTACTCTGGCCTTCAGATATAATAATAACAAATGACTTTTTAAAAAGCAAAGGATCTCTTTTAAAGAAAATTATTTTTTGTTTCACAGCATGAGACTTACAAGTGTGAGGGACAAGGGCATATGGTATACTTATATAAACATTCTTCTCTTCACCCAATAGAGAAATTACGGATTTGGATAGAAAGGATTCCAGTCTTGGTTCTGACTTCATGAAGGAAACACTGCCTGAGGCAAGGAAGACCTGGGCCAGCCTGGTCTCAGCTCCTCCAGCTCTCCTGACCTACTCATGGTTCTTAGAGGCCTTGCCGATAGCAACTAAATCAGTTGGAAATGAACTATTATTAGAAAGCACCCCTCCATAGGAACCATTCTCTTCCTATTTGATCTTCAAAAGGATTTTGACAAAATGACCTGCGACAAGTGCTTCCTATATAAATAGATAGAGGAGACAGTAAAAAAGAGGGTGGTGGGGGAAAAAAGAGTAATGAAGATTGAAAGAGAGAGAGGCAAGAGCTAGGCCACTTTAAAATTAATATAACAGTGCTGATCTTCTAAATGTTGTTTAACTTTTAAATAACCTGTAGGAATCCTAATAAAAGTACGTCATACAGAGAGAACTACTTGGTGGTTACCAGGGGCAAGGGGGTTAGGGGTAGGCACAAGGGGTGAAGGGGGGCATTTATATGGCGACTGACAAATAATAATGTACAACTAAAATTTCACAATGTTATAAACTATTAAGACATCAATAAATAAAATTTTCCAACTGAAAAAAAAAAAAAAGTACATCATAGCATAATGGTCATTTGAGTCCCGATTATTCAACATTCATTAAACAATATGCTCAATGAACAAGAAAGTGGACAGAATTACCCTGTACGTGATTCTATCTAGAGTGATATCTTCACTCACCCGGATATGCTGGAGGTAGAGAGACAGGTCTCGGATAAAAGATTTGATCAATCTTTCTTGCATTCGGAAGTTTTTTTCTGTTTCTTCAAATGCTTCATCTTTTATCTGGTCAAAATAAACAAAGAAGCTGTTTATATAATTAACAAAATAAACAAGTGCTGTTATCAGACTTCAACGCTCCCTCAATTTATCTTATTGGCAAAAGTATCTTTCTTAAAAATATCTTTTGTTTAAATTTTAAACCTTTGACGTTTTCCTGAATCATACTGAACTGAATTTAAACAACTCTGCGTGGCTTTGAAAGATCTGCAAAATACATACAGGCCCTCCCACCTTCACACCTTACTTCCTCTGCTCCTGATGGAAATCCTGTGCTCTGGTCAGGCTGCTCCCTTCACCGTTCCTAGCGCCTGCTCGGTTGCTGACCCCGATGCCTTCACTTGTACTATAACCTTGCCTGGTATGCCCTCCCCTCTCCCTGCGCCCAATCTGACCCTTCCTTTAAGGTTCAGATTAAATCTCTGGTCAACACAAAGCTCACTCTCACTGAGCCCCTGTTTTCTTAAGTACTACAGCGTTCAGAGAAAAAATGTCAAAACTTAGCAACCGATTATTTTCTAGCTGGTATTTTCCACTAATTGTATCATGTATAGGTCATATAGTGGAATGAATTCTGGAGACTTCAGATCTACTCTCAGCGCTGTCAATAAACCATGTTCAAATCACTCAATTTCTTACAGTTTACATTTCTTTATTTGTGACATATGGTGTTGAACTATGGTAATCTCTTAAATCCCTTTTAGCTTAATAGGTCTACAATTTTAATTTTGTCTCCCCACATGGATTATTAGCTCCTTATGGGTGTCTAAAACCACAATGACTATCATATAGTGACGGATGTGGCCTCCTGATTTGCCTTGTACACACTGTAAGCAGCTCACCAAGGCACGGACGGAGGGTTGGGTGGGTAGATTCTCATAAATAGGAACTGCAGGGTCCTGTACCCACCAGCTAGCAGCAACCCCAGGGGAGGTACTAAGAGGGGAATCATGCCAATCACACTGTGCAGGCTGCCCCGTGGAGCCTGCAAGACTGCGGAGGACGTGCTGAACTTCCGCACAGGAACCTCACCTGTGGAGCAAAGCCAGTGAGGTGCTTCAGGTGACTGCTCACTCGGTTAGATTTCTTGATGATGGAGTGGATGTTCAGTTTGGAAATTTTCTCCCTGAGACTATCTTCATCACCCTTCCGGTACTTGAGGACTAGGGAGTGAGTCAACTGGTGAGTCAACAAAGCACTTTTCTGAGCATGGATAGACTACAAAATGAGCTACACAATGAGACTAACAACCCAAACTAGAGCTAGTGCTTGTTTCCAATGAGCTTGTAACAGTAGAGACAAAATATTAATCCAAATCACCACTTCTGGACAGACAGAATATCTGAAGAACAGCAGAGAGAGACTGCACAGATTGGGGAAGGTTACAGACAAGGAGGAAAGGCAGCAGAGGTGTAAGGAAAAGAGCCTCAGATTTGAAGTCAAGGAAACCTCTCAGTTCAACGCCTGGGTCTGCCACTTCATCAAAGTGTGGCCTTAAATAAGTTACTCAACTTCTCTGAGTCTCATTTTTCTCTCTAATAAAACGTAGAGAGTAACAGTACTTGCCTTATAAGACCATCTTAAATGGCCTCATATACAAATGAAATACATATATACCAATTGCGTTACATGGTGAAATGCTATACAGGAGTTATTTGATTAACCACTGTGTAACATTTTAGGCACAATCTGCATAAAAGTCTAGAGATAACAGTAGAAGGATAGCAAGGGGATGGTTAGGTGGCAGCAAAATGGCACACTTTATTGTTGTACGAGATGAAGATGACATTACATTAGGAGATATGAACCAAGACAAAGGGCTGGATGGCCAGGGAACGCTCACAGCCACAGTCAACATTACATTTCAACGTGGGTGCATGGTTGAAGTGAAGGCAGAGAAAACAATTTAAGATAAAGCGTGGAGAAGAGTGGAGAGGTGGGCAAAGAGGTTATACTATATTATAGATTCTTTGAGGAGATGAATAATAAATCAATTTAGCACAGTCACCATGCTATCTCCCTGAGTGTTCAAATTAGAGCCACGACAAGAGATCTGATGAAAGGGAGAAAAAATGGTTCAGTTCGTTCTACATTATAAAGAAAGAGAGGGTGGTGTGCCAACTGACTTAGTGTTGGGAGGGGAAGGAGGAGCTCAGACCAGAGGCAGGTTACTGGGTGTGGGCATCTAATCAGGCTTCACAACTCCTCTTACTGCTCTCAGCTTTATCTCAGATGCCTTATTCCCAGTATTCCATGGCTGTGCTTTTATTACTATTACTATTACTGCTTTTCTTTTTCATATCACATTCCCCCAGATTCTACTACCGTTTCTCCATCACAGCCCTATTACCTACCACCTGCTTTGTCCTGCTCTAGGGAAATAACTGGTTCTTTTGAGAAGGAGAGCAATCGCAAGGGCATACCTCCCTCTCAGCAAGTATGCATTTCTTACCCAGGTCCTTTCGACGTTTATACTCGTTAATGTTAACGTTGATTTCCTTGACTGCAAGGACTGCACTGGTTAAAGGCACTTTATCCGGGTGGGATTCGGGGGTGGAATTCAGCAACTCCATCAGCAGGAGTGGGTAACGCATTATTCTCTGCACTGGCTTGATGAGGAAGGAGCCCAGGTTAATATAATTTGTGCACCCCCTATAAGAGAGTGAAAAAAAGAGTGTTCAGTCACCTGTCAAGAATACAGGGCCCATACGGTGTACCTGTTATTCCTAAGTATGGCTCTGTTCTTTCACCCCACTTCCTAATTTCATTCATCCAACAAATACTTCCTGGGCATAGGAATAATACCAGGCACTGTTCTAGGGTGCTGGGGGTTTAGTAGTGAACTGTCCTGGGGGAAGGAGACAGGTGATAAACAAAAAATATACAAAATGCCATCTGGAGATAAGTGCTATGGAGAAAAATACAAGAAAGAAGGTCTACTGGTAGGTTTCTGTCTATAGAGGAGGAAAAATAGAAAAAAGAGTTTGTGCATCAAGGGGCAAGGGAACTTACCATTTGTTGTACAGGCTTCTACAGGGCAGTGGACATGAAAAGAAGAGACAGCTGATTAGAGATATGCTGATGCTGATTTTCACATTCTTCTCAGAACATATTAGCTCAACTAATGCCTATTAGTTGGGCAGACAAAAATCACATGGGATAAAATGGAAATTATGAATATCTATGGAGGTATATCTAGTCTATTAAAAAAATTAGGAAGCCCCTAACTTCACTTTGATCTACTTAGACATATATTAAATCATTATAACCCGCCTCCCTAAGACCAGGAGAATCTCACCCGATGGTCAAGAATAACTGTACTTGGTCTTCTCACCTATACTCATGTTTACTTGGACCAAACTGTCCTCCTGACCGCTTCTTACCTGAAAATGCTAACTCAATACTTTGTATCTATAGATAAAAGTACAAGCAGGAAGCCAATTAAGATTTTCAAGATATATAACAGGAAAAAGGCAAGTTACATAATAGGGTCTACAATAATATACCATTTATGTTTAAAATAAGATAAACAGATGTCATAAGAAGTCTAGACATATACATGGGAGTGACTTCTGAAAGGCAGAAGTAAAGAGCTACGATGCAGGCAAAGCGGTCAAAACTCCTACTTAAGATCTGCCAAGGAGTCTTGAAGATGCTTCTGGATCTTCTCATCCTTCTCATAGATTTCCAGCAGTGAAATGGCCTCATCATGATTCTGACAGTAAACTTTGTATGTTTCCTCAAGCTCATCCCGGTGATCAAGAAACACAGGTCCTTTGAAACATACGCAAACATAGTGTTTTTAGTAACCTTCTTCTCAGTATCCTAAATGTAAAGTATGTAACCAAAGTTTAATATCAGTTAAAGCCTATCACAAGAAATGATAAGACGACTATCCATCAAATTAATAAGAAATTTCCATGTAATAGCTTAAAATTGTACTTATTTAAAGCAAAATGTAAAAGAACCTTGTCATCAATGTATTTATTTTTCAGAAACCACACACACACACACACACACACACACTTGCACGCATGCGCGTCCCTGAAACAGCCTCCAGTCCCTTTTCACAGGCAGAGTAAGGCATTTGCAAGTACTTCCCATAGAGAACCTGTAAGGACCTCTCACTCTCTAAGCCCCAGGAAAATCTCCACAGGGATGAACTATAACAGCAGTTTCCAACCTTCATTTTGTGCATGAATTAAATAAATAGGACTATAAAAGAAATTTATTATATTAAAATAGCTATGATATAAAAACCCCCAAATTTGTGATCTAATAACATATGTACTTCTTTATAAAGTATTCAATAGCAAAATGTAGCAATAAATCTAATAATCACCATAATTTCAAAGTAGGATGAGCGACATATGAAACTGGTAACATTGGTTGCTTCTGGTTGAGTGTTATTGAAATTTCAAGATATTTGCAATAACCTAATGTGACACAAGCATGTGATTTCAGTTGGTGACAGCCACAGGAGCTGCTAATATTGTGTGGTTTCTTCCCTACATTCATATCTTAAATAAATGCTAAATTTCAGTTAGAAATTAGCGAAAATAAATTTCTATCCAAGTTCACAGACTCTGTGAAATCTACCCACAGACCCCCCGTTCTACAGCCAGTCAGGCAGAGGAATAGTTCCTCAACAAAATTCCACAGAACAATTTCATTTAGAGCCACTGCCTGAATGTGCCGATCCCTGACTTGTTAAAACTACTCTTCCTCATGCCCTTCTTTTTCTCTCAGTATACTTGGTCCTTCCTTCTTCAGCTTGTACTACTCCACAAAAAACCTCCTCTCATCCTTGTGCTCCTCTCAAAATACGGTCCTCCTTCTGCTTCCCCTGTAACTACTTCTACCAGCTGCTCTGGGCAGAAGCCCCTCCCTCATGGAACCCCATTCCTTTCTCCACAATGTCACCTCTGTTCCCTCTGTGTCGTGTCCTATGGAATTCTCTGTTCTTGTGCAAATCAGTTTCTATTTAAATTAAATGTATTTCCTTAATTATAGCTCCTTTCTGCAAGAGAAACTTGATTTTTGGTTTCTCTTACCATCTCGTCGAGTGCTAGACAGACAGCTATTCTGTACAGAGGTTAATGGCATGAACTTGGAGGACAGAAAGACCTGAACTCGAATGTCAGTCCCATCAATTACTAGCCATGTGACCTTGGGCAAATTCCTTTCCCCCATAAATCTCAGTTTCCTTATCTGTAAAGCAAGATTAATAGCACCTAAACCTCACAGGGTTGTTATAGGGAACAACTGAGATCAAGCTGGACATCTCTCTAAAGGGTGTGGTGTATAATAAACACCTAAGAAACATCAGCAATGTTGCACTACTGGCTAACATCCCACAGCCTCCTTCCTTTGGGAGGGCAGAGCCTGATCTGTTCCTGTGTCCATTTCTCTCCCAGGTGAGTCAGGTAAATACTGCCTAGCCTAAGTCAATATCACGATCCCATTCTCATTTCTAGTGATCAGCTCGAGCGTCTGCATGTGACCCAGTTCTGGCCCATGAGAAATGACGAGAAGTCTGACAGGGGAGCACTGGAAAAGGTTTGCTCACTCTTAAACAACACAAGGTCACTTCTTCCTTCTGCTGGATGTTGTCACGTGTGTAGTGCGATGGCTAGAACTAGATGCTAGTGGTAGCATCCTGTGACTATGATTCCAACAAAATCACAAAATGATAGGATGTCCCCTCCCACATGGTACCAGAGCTGGTCTGTATGACCAATAGAATACGGCAGAAGTGATGGTATGTCATATCCAAGATCAGGTTACAGATGACAAGGTGGTTCCCACCTTGAGCTTTCTCTCTCTCTTGGATCACTCACTCTGGGGAAAGCCAGCTGCCATGTCATGGGGACAGCCTGTGGAGAGGCTCACATGGCAAGAAGCTGTAGCCTATGAGCTCAGTGAACTTTTGGAAGTGGATCTTTGAGCCTCAGATGACAGCAGCCCAGACCACAGCTTGACTGTTACCTCATGAGAGACCCTGAGCCAGAATCACCCAGCTAAGCCACTCCCAGATTCTGACCCACAGAAACTGTGACATAACACGTTTCTTGTTTTAAGCTGCTAACTTTTGGTATAATTTGTTACACAGCAATAACTAACACAGTTTCCTTGTTTATAAGAAATAGATGATTGTTTTTCAAACATTTTTGATACTGACCTGCATGAATAAATACATTTAAAATCATGACTCAGTATACATATACAGTCATGTGTTGCTTAACAATGGGGATACGTTCTGAGAAATGCATCCTTAGACGATTTCATTGTTGTGCGAACATCACAGAGTGTACTTACATAAACCTAGATGGCATAGCCTACTACACACCTGGACTATATGGTACTAATCTCATGGGACCACTGTTGTATACGCGGTCCGTCATTGACCAAAACATCATCATACCATGCGTGACTGTGAGTAGAACTGAAATAAAAGTTCCAAAAACTGCAGTTATTATTTACAGTACATTTTGATATTTTCTATTTTATCTTATTGAAAAAACATATACTAGGTGTAACCCATTGAACTGATCTCATGACACGTTAATGGGCTGCAACCGTCGGTCTGAAAAACGTTCTACTACATAACATCTAAAATTTCTTCTCTGGCTAACATCCTATATCACCTCAAAGTAGGCTGTAGATAAAAGGAGAGGCAGGGGCCAAACAACCTCTGAACTAAGTAACTAAAACTTCATTTTCCTAGCATAACTCAGGACCAGCAAGACCCTTCCCCCCTGCCTCCTACGCATGAAAAAACGTCGTTTCTGAAACAATGGCAGGAGCTCATACCTACAGCATTGCTGATTTCCAGATCGGCCAATAATTGCTTTGAGATCTTAATCACCATCTGCATATTTCCAAAAACACCCTCAAAATCAATGTTTGGTACCTGAGAAAGGGAAACAAAACATAAAGATGGATGGAAATGAAATTAATGCATATCATTTATATTAGCAATATCTCTTCAAGGATGGTATAAAAATTGCTCAAGGTCATCTTCACTCATTCTCACAAAGTTTCTAGAACAGAAACATCCAACATTATCTTTAGTGACACCCTTTGCCCTTGATGCAACTACTCTCTGCTCCCCCACTACCTTAGTGAAATGACTGTGGAACCAGTTTGGCCTATAATTTACTGGGATACAAATTCCCACCCAGTACCTAAAATCTGATGGCACTGCCCACTTCCTATAGAAGTTTTTAGGAGTGACTGCTCCAGGAATATAAACCCAAGTCCAGCCCAGGAGGTCAAGTAACAAAGCAATAAGGACTGTAAATTCCCGAGATACTGTTAACCTTTTTTTCTATCTCCAGCATCTAGAAAAGTACCATGTTACACGCACACGTAGAAAAGTATACACACACGTTAGTAAGGGTTTCCTGAGAAAACTTTGCACAATCAGATGCTAGAGCCCAGTAACCTATCATCCCCAGACTTCATTATATTATTGCACAGACTTCCCAGTAAAGTGACAATCCAGACTCCCTGGAACTGCTTTCAGGAGCCACAGAAACAGGAAATGTCCTAGGAGTTACTGCAGCGAGTCTGGTAAGTTAACAGTGGAGCTGATAAGTGACAGGATGCTGAAGGCTTAAGTTGATGACACACGTACGCTGGGGCCCTTGAATTGAGAGCAGCAGCCACAGCCTTTATTTCAAACCCAATAATCTTTGTGGTGAAAGCTCCCATATCCTGATGCCTCAGGCTTGGAGAACCACATTCAAGATAAAGGTAAATTTCTCCCGTGGTTCTGACCTGGGCCTGCTGCAGGGGTACCATGATCCGCTCAATACACATTTCCAGATCCCGAATGTAGTCTCTTTCTGTCTGAAGAAGTTCTGCTACCACCTTGGCTCTCTTCTCCAGCATCCTCTGCTCTGGGTTTTCAGTGGACCCAGACCCAGAAGGGGCCACCAGTGATGAAGACTGGGAGGAGAGGAGCGTCATTTCTAGAAGGGAAAAGAGAACTGGTCAGCAGTCTGGGTGTGAAAGCAGGACTCTTCAACAGTTTGAAATGAAAAGAATACATTCCTTGAGAACCAAAGGTCTCACTGTTGTCAACCATCAGGAAATCTGATTCCACAAATCAGTTCTAATCATGATCAGATGAAGAGCTTAGAAAGCCATCCCTGCAGAGAGAACTCCCATCTGTGCGATACCATCTCTAAAATTTGTCCTAAAAAGGAGTAGCTGGCCTGTTTGATGAGGACAAATCAGTGTCCACAACCTCCATGGGAAAGAGGTTGAAAGAGGTGCTGCTCTTGTACAGAATTGCTTTCACTTAATTAGGTATAAAACCCATTCCACGATCTCAGCAGCAGAAATACCAAGCTGGAAGTTAAAAATGTTGATGCAGCACATTAAAAAGAATATTATGGGGAACATAATAGTGCTAAGTAAAGGGAAAACAATATTAGGTAGTAATTATCCGTCTGCAATCTGGGTGACTTTAGGGCCCACCATGTTCCAGTCTGTGATGGTGGATTAACATTAGCATACAATGAAATATATAAAAATTGTTTAGATTCTGCCTATCAAAACATAAAGACTCATAAGCAGGTTTTGTTACTTCAAATGTCCTAGAAGATAGACACAAATGAACTATAAATAGACACAAATGAACTATAAATGAAAATGAGTATCTGTCTTGTCATTAGCTTTTACAATTACCTGACTGATACTTAGATTCATATGATTAGACTTATTTATAAAGATGGGATGGCATTTGTTCATTTACAATGAACATTAAATACGAAAATAAACAACTGAAAAAATTTCAACAGTGAAGCAGTCTCTGCTATTTATTTCAAATTCCTTAAGATCCACTTTAAAAAACTACAAATTTGGTGAGTAAATATACTAGTAAGTCTGAGTATGTTTACAAGAATATTTTTACCCAGATCTAAGAAGCAAAAACACAAGTGTTCAAACTACTTATAGAAAACTAGGCTTTCACAGCAGATTTTAGTCTCCAAAAATCTTCCCCACTGCCCCTTTTCTAAGAATTTAGGAATTTCAATGTTTAAAAAGTGCAACCCAGATTTTGGTTTCTAAAAACCATTCTCCCCTAAAAGGAATCAGAGCTCTTTGGGCAGGGAACGTACAGATGAGCCTGAAACATCTTATGGCAGAAAGTAAGGAAACGCTCAACAAAGTGATGGGAGCATGTCAAAGGGCACAGAGGTGGCTTGAAGGGGCTCCAATTGGCCAAATCTGGTACAATTTGAGTATCAAAATAAATAAGCACAGCAATGGATTATAATCTATTGAATAAAATAAGAATCCATGAGCGCATATTGATAATATATAAGTACATAAATAAATGGGGGAGAAGAGAAAGCCCTTTCTTACAGTAGAATGTCAACTAATAAAAATAACGGAGTTAGAAAATCAATATTTTGCAACCATCAGAATAAAAGTTGGGTCAGCCACAAACAATCAATGGATGATTCTGGTGTTGGTAGTGTGGTCTGATGATGATCAGGATATCTGCATAGTTTTGAATTAGTTATTACAAACTACTTATTAATGATAAAAATAGAAAAGTGACTACATAGCAGAGAAACAGATAACACCATAACTCAGCGATCAAAATTAACTGTCAGGTCTGGAAACAACACAATCTCCCTTACGTAGACTCCTAGTCAAAAATGAATAATCTGTAATGAATCTTGAGGAAACACGAGACAAACCTAAATTGAGGATTTGGACTCTTCAAAATGTCATGTTATGGAAGACAAAGAAAGCCTGAGGGAGAGTTCTCAATTAAAGATAACTGAAGAGATGACAAATACATGAAATGTGTGATTCTGAACCGGATGCTGACCTGGGGAAAAAAATTGCTCCAAAGGACATTACTAGTACAACTGATGAAATTGGGATATAGACTGCAGGTTAGATAAACGATTAAATCAATTTAAAATTTCCTGAAATGGCAAATCTATTGTGGTCATGTATGAGAATATCCATGTTCAAACAAAATACACACTGAAGCTTACTAAGGAGCACGATACATGCAACCTACTCTCAAATAGTTCAGAAAATAAGAGAGAGAATGAAAACAAAAACATGGCAAAATGTTAAATACTGGTGAATTTGAATAAAGGATATACACGAGGATCTTTGTACTACTGCAATTTTCTGGAAATTTGATATTATTCAAAATAAAAATTAAAAAGACATAATGGAAAAGTATCGTTCTTGAACTTTTTTTGGTAGAATGAACAACAAAATTTCAAGCATAACTCTTTTATTTCATCAGTGTTAAATTATGACGCTAAAGTAATTGTAGCATATGTAAAATTTATTTTCAATGGCCTTGTTTTAAATTTTCTCTGCCATTTCAAAGCTACAGAATCTCAGTCTCATATATGGTTTCATAAGTGGCAAGTTGAGAAGAGAAACTCATTTTTAATTCAGGACTAAAAAGCTCTGGAAAGGGAGACCATTTATCGAACTCCCACCATGTGCCAGGCACTTTACATATTATGGCCCTGAACTCATTTAATATTCACACTCCAACTTGGAAGTAGTATTATTACTCCCATTTAGTAGACGAGAAGACCTAGACTTTGAGAGGCTGCCCAACTTGTCCCAGCTTACGTAGTGAGTAGATGGTAGTTCTGGAATTTGAATCTAAATGTATTTAAATCCAAAGCCTGTCCACTGAATCCCGCACCATTTTGCCTCCCTAGCCTGGAATCTCAACTAGAAAACATCAGGGGCTTATTTGCTTCAAAGCTTAAAAATTTCCTGGAAACGATTCTCTCCTGGGAATCAGTTATAGTCAAAAGCATAAAATACCAGCAAACACTCATCAATCAGAAGCCAGCAACCTACATTAAGAGAATCAACTGGATTTTTATTTATACTGAGAGAGAGAGGGAAAAAAACTATCAGCATGCCTTTTTTTCTACAGGTGGACTTATAAACTCGATTAACTCTTAAGAAAACAAAACCACAACAGTGTAGCGTGATTAAAAACCCCTGCTGGGTATTTTCGCTAAACTGCAGTTTCCTGGGCACCACTCCTGAGATTCTGAGTCAGCAAATCCGGGTAGCGCCCAGGTATCTGCGATTAACAAAGTCCTAGGTGTTTCTGAGATGCAGGTGACCTTCAGGCTCCACACATATTAATTAATACTCAGATTAAGTCCAACTAGAAATATCTGGCTGTAATTACTCCAAACGTGAAACTGGTTTTCCACTATTCCAAATATAGTCTAAGAAAAAAGTTAGATCTAAGACTTCAGCGTCTGGGACAACTCAGTGAGAGCAGGCAGCCTCCGCCCTCCGTCGGCTGCCCTTCTCGCTCCTCCTCCACTCTTTAGCTGGGGAGCCCCCGGGAAAGTCCATTTTTACCACAAGCCCTCAATTGCCTCATCTGTAAAATGAGAATAAAAATTCCTGCTTTGCACAGTTGCTTAGGGAATTAAAGTAACAACACAAATCAGTCCTTTTCCCATCACGGGACAGAAAATGCTGTGGGCACCAGGTTAAGGTAAAATGCACCAAGGAGAAAATGCTCCTTTCAGATAACATAAAATTCTACTTTTCTATTAAAAAAAAAAAACAAAAAACGGGATGAGGAAGCCCATGGAGGAAGTTGTAGCCCAGGACCAGCCTAGCAATAAAACGTGCAGCCAGCTCCCACTTTCTCTGCAGGATGGCCCTGGAGGCAGTAAGGAGCTGGGCCTGACTGCACAAATCTAGTTTCTGTGATAAAACAACTAGTGGTGGGTTTCTTTCTTTTGCTCCCCTCTGCATCTCACCTTCCGCCCCAGTCCCCATTCCACCCCTTCTCGAGATATCCCACCCCTTCAGGTTAGCGCATTATCAGACTCAGTTCTCAGTGTCCTAAGGAAGAGATGCAGTTAACCCAGAACTTCCCAGAACAACTCTAACACCCACACTTTAAAGTAGAGCTGAAGAGAAAAGCCACTCACTTCTTCCCTTGCCTCAGAAAGCTGACTGTCTTGGGTGGGGAAAATCTTTGAATTCCCGGCTTGGTCCCAAGCTGCAACGCAGCGAGGAGGAGGCTGACTGTTCTACCTGCTTTTGTGCCGGCTCCAGAGACCCCAGGAGGTCAGCGCCAAAACTCTGGTGCGGGCATACATGTGGGTCGAAGGGTAAGCAGGCAGCGTAAAATCTTCCCAGGGCTCTGGAATGCTCCACAAACCCCTAAAATCCTTTGAATAGGGTCGGCATTTCCCCCAGGCTTTTCCATATTTACATATGAATCGCCCCAAGTCCCCCAGGCTATCACAGCAGGGTCAGCTCTAAAGGATGGAGCTGGAATCCTCTGCTCACTGGACTGAGATGTAGAAGAGCGGGCTTGCTTTGCTCAAGCTCAACACCTGTCCTTAGCTTTCCCTTCTTGGTCCTAAAACAGTCACAATTTTAGTTCAGGAGTTTTTAATCCAAGAGTATCTCTTACATTTCCTATCCCTGCTAAGCGTTGTTTTCTGGGATGCTCTTTTTAAGGAAGAATTCTGAAGGCCCGCCCATCTCTCACGATAAGAGGCAAAGCTGCAAAGCGGCCAGCATTTGTCCGTTTGTCTGCCCGGGGGCCTCTCCTTCTGCGGTCCCTCTCCCCGGCCGGGCGCAGCCCTCATTTTCTCTGGGGCTTTGCAGAACCGGACCTCCCACTTTAGGGACCTCACCCTAAAGCCCTCAGAATGCAGCAGATCTCAGCTGGCTACTCCCAGGACAGCAAGAACAGCGGAGTAATTCACGGGGCTGGGAGCCCGGCTCACAGCTCACGAACATTTCTTTCCACTTTATAAGAAACCGAGGGAAAGAAAGCTGCAGAATATGCCATTTTTGTTTAAAAAAAAGAGAGAGAGAGAAAAGAAAAGAAAACCCGGAAAACCCCCTATATATTTCCATATATTCATACAATACGTAAGTGCACAGAAAAAGGTCTGGAAGGAGAACACACCAAACTCAT